AAGCGGACCACGAAATTAGTGAATTTAATGAATTTAAATTAAGTATACTTCACTAAAGCTCTCCGTGGTCATTTCATTTGCCGTCGAGAATCCAACCCGACTACACGACATTTGAAAAATGGCAAAAAGGAGGGAAAATTCAAAAGGTGGGGTTGAGATGAGAAGTTAGTGTCCTAGTGGATCGAGTTCACGATAGCTCAAGTGGTAGAGCAGCGGCGTATCTAGCCGAAGATCGTGGGTTCGAATCCCGCTCGTGCCACTGACTTTTTTATCTCTGTGTCCACCAACAATTTAAGTCGTCAGGCAGACGGACCCTCCATGCCGTAAATTTACTTTAAATTATATAGTATGTAATGTTTATAACTTTTCTTTTTGTTTGCAATAATAATTATTATTAGTAGTATTAGTATCAATAGTATTATTGTGGTAATGATTAAATTGTAATATAAAAATTAATTTTGTTATTTTGAACAAAAAAAAATACGTTAATATATGATGTTGCAAGTGACTCTGGGAACCGGCTGAAGCCAAAAACAAACGATCAGAAATCATCCAGGATCATTTGTTGAAAATAGAGTTTCTCCCAAAATACACTGTTTTTATTATTATTATTATATTTTTATTTTAAATTTTACATCTAAATTGACCGTTTTGGCCAACGAATATTATATCCGCTTTTAACATAATTTTATATTAAAATACGATCAGGGATGAGCCAAATTAGAAAAAAAATCACTTAATTCGTTCGTCGACCTTTTGAACATGTCCTTCCTAGGACTATAAGACTTTTTTTTTAACAAGAATGACACATCTACACAGAAAACAAACACTTTGAGCGAGTACAAATACTTTGATTGAATATAAAATTTCTATCACTGTTTAAGTATTTAGTTGTTCATTTTTTTCTTTTTTCCATACTACATGTATTTGTAAAATTTAAACAATGTCAATCCCAGGCCCTGAAGATGATCTCAATAAAGATCGAAACGTTGGCCCGATACAGAAAACGTTTTTCTAAAACCTACTTCACACCAGACCGCATCTCACGATCTCCAAATAATCATTAACTAACGGTCACTAAACACCACACACTTATTTTTTATTATTTATTATTTTTTTACGAGAGTATTTCAACTACGAGGTTATTTGAACCCTCGGGGTGCCGGTGTTTTTGAAAAAAGACCATTTGTAAGTTTGCAGTTTCGAATGCAGGGCCGCTGGATCCGAACCCGGAAAATGTACCTTACAGTGAAGAACGCTGAGTTAACGCCTATACCATTGTCATCGACGACCCCAAGACTGCTATAAAAAAACTATTAACATCTGTTTACCATTTTGGTTATTAAATTAAAATTCTATAGAACCAGATCAGAAACGTCATTCTATTAAATGAAATATGTATTTATTGAGCTAATTTAGTAAAAGAATGATAAAAAAAAGCAAAATAATAATATCTGATATATAATAATATTTTATTAATGCTATAAAATAATATTTGCTAACATTTTTTAGCAGTTACAATTTCAAAATTGTATTGAAACATTCCTTGAATTACGTGCAGGAAGAAAATGAGTTTTCTTTCCAAATGGCCTCGTCCCTGATCATCTTTTGATAATAAATTTTGTATTATAATCACTTTATTCAGGCAAGTAGTATATTTTAAATTCTTTTGAATTTTTGTTCCAATGCTAGATTAGCATTTCAAATGTTTCCATTCAAAAGTTCAATAAAAGCGTGATTGTTCATTAATCTTTTGTATTTGTATTACCTTAAACTTCTCGCTTGAACACAACAAATTGAACGATTGATTTCGGTAAGAATTGTCTGAATATGCACGTTGTTACTCAACAAAAATATTTCAGAAGGAGGAGCTGAAAGAAACTATCCATTTCTGTAAATAAATTTCATATCGAAGGGTATTAAGAAAAGTCTATATATATATAATATAAAAATATAACAAAAAAAGTAAATCTTGCCATGTTGACGTATTTTCAAACTTAATTATTCAGAAATCGTGAAATGCGGTCTGGTGTGATGTAGGTTTCAGAAAAACATTTTCTTTATCGTGCCAACGTTTCGATCTTTATTGAGATCATCTTCAGGGTTTGGGATTTACAAACATTGTTTAAATTTAACAAATACATGTAGGATGTGGAAAAAAGTGAATTTATACAATGCAAAAAAATATATTTTTTTATATTCAATCAAAGTATTTCTAGTCTAAGTATTTTCAAACGTTTTGTATATTTACACAAAGGCACGTGATTACCGTCAATTGCATTTTGAAAGACGAAAACATATATTTCATTGATAAATTTTAAATAAGACCGTATATAGAAGTTGGAAGAGAGAAGTGTGGTCAGTGAGCGTACCAATACCTGTTTTAAAACTCGACGGTATTTAATTTTCAATAGTTCCGCCTCATAATTAATAATGTCGTCAGAGGCGAAACAATCTTTCGAATTGTTTCCCTCTCTTGGTTTTTACATAGTCATATTTTTCAACATAGTTTTCGAAATTCTTGCCTTTTTCAATTAAACAAAAGAAAAAGCCGATAGTACATCAGGGAAATAAGAAGGGCGAGATTCGAATATTGCAGGTGTCAAACTTCAAGTACTATTTGAAGTATTTGAAAAATGGCAAAAAGGAGGGAAAATTCAAAAGATGGGGTTGAGATGGGAAGTTAGTGCCCGAGGGAATCGAAGTCTTGATAGATCAAGTGGTAGAGTAGCGGCGTATCAAGCCGAAGGTCGTGGGTTCGAATCCCGCTCGTGACACTGACTTTTTTTATCTCAACTTAAAAGCGTAATTAATTGAATGTTATTAATTGGTCAAGCGGACCACGAAAAATAGTGAATTCAAGTACTATGTTAAAGGAAGTCCATACCGCAAAAGAAAGACCATCCTAACCCGACACAGAATTGGCCATACGCGGATGACACATGGACTCTCAAGAGAGTATAAGAGTAGGTATGTATAGCGTGTAGAGTAAGGTTGCTCAATGTAACCCTCTTAATTAAAGAATGACATCCCTTGGCTCCATATGGAGAGTGAGTAGGAAGTCTCCCTATATGAGGATTGTTCTCAAGTACGACAGTTAATCTTTCACCTATTCCGATTTTTGTAGTAAATATTTTTATTGCAGTTAGTCGTATTACGAAATCAGAGCCCGGGGAGGCGGTCTGATGAAGAAAGATAGGAGCGAAAGATGTACAAACCCTCTTCCTCAGTAAACCTGCGGAAGGAGGATCATTAACGAGAAGTACGCTTTATCCGACAGGATAAACGCGGGACTCTCTCTCAAGAGAACGAAATCAGAGCCCGGCGGCGGCGGTGGCGGAGTCCGCGGAAGGTGTGCACGGTGTAAATCTGTACCCGGAGTATCGGATTCTGGTCACGAAATCTCGCATTACGGGGTGATTCGCAACTCGTACGACAAAGTTCGTCAGGTGCTTCTACATCTCAAATGAACAAAGAAGTTCGTGTGAACCACAGTCTGATTCCCAACCGTTTCGCAGATATTGGGCATTTTATGTGTTTTTCCAACTATTTAGGTTTTTATCGAGTAGAAAATATATATATTCGTTACATTCTCATCTAGTGAGGTTCCCTTAATGAACCCAAGATTTTATGTTCGCCGTTGAAAGCAAGCAGATCGCTGTTATTGCCATTACTTCCATTTCTTCCTTATATTCTTCCTCAGAGCTATCCATTTCGCACTTACTGTGATGTACATCGCATCATCTGTGCATCATCACAGATGGACAGATCTTTTCTAAGAGCTCCCAGCTCATCTTTTAAGAGACCCTTTACGCTTGAGATTTGTCCTCGTTGAAACTTTTGAACCAATACTGCTAAGATGAGCTAAGCCTTTACGTTTCTATTGCAGGACTTCAGTTGCGGCCTTCTTATTTAGAGTTTCAATAGATGTTCAAAAATCTTTTACATACATTTTTTAAGAAATAATTAGTCGGTACCAACATTTGTACTATTAAATTACATGAACAAAACAATAAAATAGTTGACTAAAAATGTAACTTTTTCAAGGAAAAAATTCTTTTTGTTTTTTTAATAATTAAAATATATTTGTAAACATTGCTTGGCCTCTGTCACTTTCGTTATTAAATTTATTTTATTAAGAATTATTATATATTAATTATTAAGAAGAGTTTTGTATAAACAGTTACCTAATTACCGACAAAAAAATGAGTTGAACCCTAGTTTTAAAAGAATTTGTTTACAAATTTATAAAAAACAAACCGTATTTGATTCGATAAACAGGTCAGTTTACATATAAAAGAAAAGACGTGATAGTTTCAAGGAAATATCTCTTATTCTATTGACAAAACAATGGCTATTGATTCGTTTTGTTGATAACTTTCCACCGCTTAGCGCGTCAGTAGGGTTGAAGATACGGTCTAGGCACAATACTATTCGACTCATTGTCAGTACAAGCACAGCTTTGAAAAGGTATGTTCGTCTTAGCCATAATTGTTCAGCAAGGGCAAACATTTAATTAAAAGCAAAATTAATAACATAATGTTCTGGATAACATGGCAATTCAGTCCAATATTTCCTTGAACAAACCGAATATATATTACTTTACAACTTGCAAAATTTTTCTGTATGGAATAACTCAATGTCAAGCACTATTACATAAATAAAAACCCACGGATTATTAGAGCGTAAAATCTTTTTAAAAAATCGTTTTCTCCTACTTTGCATACTTATTGTCCCTTGAGCCTGAGGAATAGCGATTCAGTCTGTAAAGGCAGAAGGATCGTGGTTTGTCAATTTAGGATAATCCGTTGTAATTTATTTTCCGATTTATTCCAGAAATGGGCAAAGCTTTTACCGTACATTACTCCGAATGGGAGCATCCTTGTTCTTTTTCATCAAAGGAGATTTCCTTTCTAGAGTCACGGGAAAAATACCAAAGTTCGGGCAAGCCTTTAGTGTCTTATCTAAGTTGTGTTTGAAAATTGTAAATTTGTACTTACGATTGCGTTTTCGACTGCTTCGTGCTCCTGACGACGAGTTAGCAGAGTCGGCACTAACAGTTTTGTCATTGCTTCCCTTCCGATATATCCCAAACACATGGAATCATACACCTGAAAATTAACAAAATATGTTTTCAAAAAAAACTCGCGGCTGTACGATTTACGCTTTCATTCAAACTTTGTTAAAGTTGAACCACAACAAAAAGTAAAAAAAATTCTACAAGTCCCAATGTCAATTAAATTTGCAATGTAAAATCAATAAGGGGACCCTGTATAAAATTAAACAATGAAAAATCAATCTTTGTGTAATATTCAGATTGAAACTAGCGTTTTGAAATTTCTCAAATGATAAATTTAAGAACATTAATAATTTGGTACTTTACTAGTTCTTCAAGAGAAAAATAAATAAACATTAAAAAAGAGAGAGTGATTGAGAGAGCGAGTGAGAGACAAAGAGAGAGAGAGAAAAAAAAAGAGAGAAAGGTGTTGACAGGTTGATTTAGAGAGAGAGAGAGCGAGAGAGAGAGAGAGAGAGAGAGAGAGAGAGAGAGAGAGAGAAACAGACAGACAGACAGAGAGGAAGAGAAAGGAAGAAATGAGAATGAGAGTTATAAAATATATGGAGAAAGAAAAGTAAGACTTCGCTGGTGTTATCCTTTTTCTTTTCTTCTAGAGAAAAAATTAGCAGTTATGTGGTAAAGAGAGAAAGAGAAAGGGAGTGTGAGAGAGAGACAAAGGGAATCATACATGGGCAAAGAAAGAGAGAGAGAGTGGGAGAGGGAGAGAGAGAGAGAAAGAAATAGAAAGATGTAGGAGAGAGAGGCGTGTTAGTAAGAGAGAGGGCGAAAGAGAGTAACAGAGAAAGAGAAAGAAATAAGAGAGAAACAGATGGAGAAAAATGTGGAGAAAGGAAGGTAGTAAAGAATGTCATCTTGGTGTTTTACTCTTTCATTTCTTCGAGAGAAAAAATAAGCAGTTATGTTATAAACAGATAGATAGATAAATAGATAGGAAGAGAAAGAGAGAGAGAGAAGAGAGAGAGAGAGAGAGAGAAACAGACAGACAGACAGAGAGGAAGAGAAAGGAAGAAATGAGAAAGAGAGTTATAAAATATATGGAGAAAGAAAAGTAAGTCTTCGCTGGTGTTTTCCTCTTTCTTTCCTTCTAGAGAAAAAATTAGCAGTTATGTGGTAAAGAGAGAAAGAGAAAGGGAGTGTGAGAGAGAGACAAAGGGAATCATACATGGACAAAGAAAGAGAGAGAAAGAGTGAAAGATTGGGAGAGGGAGAGAGAAAGAAATAGAAAGATGTAGGAGAGAGAGAGAGGCGTGTTAGTGAGAGAGAGGGCGAAAGAGAGTAACAGAGAAAGAAAGAAGAGAGAAACAGATGGAGAAAAATGTGGAGAAAGGAAGGTAGTAAAAAATGTCATCTTGGTGTTTTACCCTTTCATTTCTTCGAGAGAAAAAATAAGCAGTTATGTTATAAAAAGATAGATATATAGATACATAGATAGATATATAGATAGATAGAGAGGGATAGAGAGATAGATAGAGAGAGAGAGAGAGAAGGAGAAGGAGAGGGAGAGGGAGAGATTGTCAGTGAAGGAGAGTGTGCTCATTTCTTCGAGAGAACAGTTTTGTAGTAGAGAGAGAATGAAAAACAGAGAAAGCAGAGAAAGAATGAGACAGATAAATAGAGACTGCGAGAAAAAAGAAAATAGAGAGACTAAGAAAAATAAAATGAGAGCGAGAGAGAAAAGAAGAAAAGAGGGTGAACCATTTAATTAAGAAAGAAAGATAAATAAAAAATGTGATATGGAGGTTTTTTCATATATTGAAAAGTAAGAAAGGCAGAAAGTAAAAGAATTTGAAAAAAGTGAGAGATGCAAGGGAGATAAAAAAGGCTGAGATAACAAAAATATATTAATAGCAAAAAGGAGTTGGATTTTTTGAGACATAGGTCGGGTGGCTATTCTTTTTTCCTGATATTCTATCCGTTTTATGTGCAAGGGACATGAAATTGATCGAGCGAATAAGAACAGACTAGAAGAAAAAGAGAACGAGTGGGGAGTGTGAGAGAGAGTGAATTTAAAACAAAAGAAAGTAAATGTAAGGGTGTGTGAGAAGTTGTGGGAGTTGAATATTAACTGTTTAATTAACTTTATTTGCCTGATAAAAGGTTTTCGTTATCAAACTATATGTACATTTCAAAAATATTTTTAAATCTTTTTACTTCCTTGTCTTAAACGAAATTATCTGAACTGGTCGTATACATAACCGTATTTGTCAATACCTTACCTAATTACTCGGAACAAATTTTGATAGGTCTAATTTAGTTTTTGCACCTTTCACTTACATTTCTAAATACTATTATGCAAATAATCTCCGCGGTGAATCTAGGTAACCTTCATTCAAATTTCTCGTGAAAATTCAGTGATAGGATAAAAATTAAAAGGATATATACACATACGTGTGAAAGGATTTTAGTTGATAATTGTCGTTTTTTCATAATTTCAGTACACATTGGGACATGTTCACGGATGAAAGTGGAAAATCAGATTTGACCTAGGACTATAACAATGTCGACTTCTTCCAAATTACATAATCTCTTACGATAAACGTCGTATTTACACGCGTACATCAATTGTTTACTAATTTTTGTTTGTTACACTGACAATAAAATGACTCAAATATAGTATATTTCCAATGTTAATTAATCACATATCACATGGGCAACGTTCAACCCACAGGAGATATAAAAAACATACAGTGGGAAGTGTAAAAAATCGATCTCTTGTTCTTTGAGATAACTGTTAATAAATAATGACGAGATAATTACTGTTGAGCATGTCTTATAAAATCGACGGGAAAAAATGCCGTTTGCCTTGAGCGAATGGGTTCCCAGCATATGACAGCATAACTCGGGCCTGTTTATCTCACAACCGAATAAAGAACAAAAATAAAAACACTATAATAATAATAAAAAAGAAAACTGCAATAGACCACCTTGCCTAACGTGTGCTTATTTATATTGTTCAACAAGGAAAAGATTTGCAGATGCAAGAAATGTATCAAAACATTATCAAACAATCAGCCCTAAAGTAATATTTAGGAAGGTTAAATTTATAATATAAAAACTTACCTCCACCATTAAGTTCTAGATTTTTAAAAAGAAATCGCAGCAAACTTGTTTTTTAGATTTTGACAGATTTTTGAAAACTACTGCTTACTACGAAGAACATACATAAAGTACTCATCTGAGAGAAAAAACACGGGTATCAATGACAAATAACTTCTATATTAGAAAACCTGAGAACGAGATTGGTCTGGAATTGATGATTGTTTACATTCATCTCGATTTTAAAAACCACTTATTGATGACTATAACATCAGGATGATTTAGACTTCTACTTGAATCTATATAACAATTTTATTAGTATTTAAATATATAGGTCGTAAGTCATCAAGTCATCTTAATGAAAGGCAAAAAAACAGCTTTGAAACGGTGCTGGAAAAGGGCCCTGTTTAAAAACCCCTCGAAGGCAACACTCGTCTCAAGGAAAAGATGTTAAATCTTCTAGCATTAATCCTGCAAATTCAAGAATTGAAGCATTTCAATGAAATTAGCAGCTGAAGAGAACCCAGAGCACTAAAAATACAATGGATATGCCAGATTCTCTGTGACAGAACTTGGTCGTATCTTACGATAATCAGACTCATGATCACTTATGAAAGTAATAAAATATCGAACAAATTGCATGTCTGGTCATCTTAAAACAACACCCAGCTACAAAGGAACGTATTGTCAAATTGAAGTTACCTAGGAGTAGTTTTCTACTAAAGGTTCACATATAATGTCCACCTCAAGAGAACCCACGTAATCATCTAAAGGCCTATGTTGACGAATGCGTTGCATATTATATCCAAAAGCATAATGAAAAGCGCTGATCACTGGTGATCTTAAAACAACGCCCAGCTGCAATGGAATATATTCTAAAACTGCCAGAGTTACATAACATCAAAAGGATTGCAGTTACTGAAGAACTGAGAATTCAACCGATATTAGAAATAAAGCATACAGCTAAGGTCATACCAAAAATTTTTTACAGTTAATATAACTGACACGTTGGTGGTGGATTGATCTGCAAGTCTGGGTATGTGAGAACTCGCGGGTTTCGGGTCCGGCAGTTGTTATACTAGGTGCCAATAAATGATATGGCCAAAACCGTCTGACATGTCAGAAAAAATCTAGTTTTTGAAAAACCATTCAACATACAAAGGAAAATCAGGAGACCTTCCTTGGTATATAGACGGCAAAGGGATGACGATGGCCATAAAGGGGTGTATGAGAACCACATGGCGTGGGATCCAACACAATTATATTCTAGTTTTTAACAAAATAGTATGTCTTAGTAACACTGGTGCTATTAAAACATCACCTACAATACCAATGAAGCGTATCCCCATATTAACGCCCTTACCCATGGATATTAAAAACATGGCAGATTAAGAAACTGAGAATTTTTCGGTAGGAAATAAAAAATAAGTGTAGGCCATTCAAACTTTTCAATAAAGTTAAAATAATTGATATTTCTAAACCTATCGCTCACGCATAAGAGAAAATACTAACTATAGAAAACCATTTAACATAATTATTTGAAAAATTGCAAAATACAACAAAAAAAGAAGAAAACTTGCATCTTTTCTATAGTATACAGATGGCTTAAAAAAAAAAAAAAAAAAAAAAAAAAATGGTACGAGAATAAGAGGCAGGCATAAAGAATCCTATACTATGAGCAATCATATGGCACTAGGCTTCACCACAACCAACTTTCAGACCAAATTACTAGGCATAGAATCGTGTGCACATGAAACAAATAGCATCTCAAGCGTGCAACTATAAAACTACTATCAGATAACCAGGCAGACTCTTAAGGTTATTCAGGCGAGCGAGATTAACTCAAAACTAGTCTGGAATTGCTTAAATACTGGACAAACTTGCATCTATAGTCTAGTGGCACAATAGGTTCAGGTCATGAGGGAATTTCTGAAAACGACGCAGCAGACACCCTAGCTAAAAAGAGAAAATTACATATATCCAAATCCACTTTATAGCATAAAAAGAGCATCACTGATAAAGAACTGGAATCTTAGATGGCTAGAGAATACCGGGAATGTATGCCAGGCATGAGCAACCAAAGACCACTCGCACAAAAAAAATAAAAAAATTTTAAAAAAATTATAGAAAGAATGAATCCTACAAGCAAGTATATTTACAGGACAAGCTCCAGGAAAATACCACTTTAAAAATGGGAATATCAACAGATGACCAATGCCGATTATGTCTAAAGGAGACAGAGACTACAAAGATTTATGCAACTATCAAAAACTATGGTGCCTAGGAAAACCATTCCTGACCAATAAACACATCTAATACCACAACTTTGACTATTTTTGTACTTTATTATTTTATTAAAGAAACGAAAATCTTCCAGGAAATCCATTACCTGATGTCACAATAGACGAAAGTTTGAGTGTAAAAGAGGGAAATCCTTTTGGCTCAAAAGAGGGAAAAGAAGTAGGCCGTACCAGTGCTAATGTACAAAAATTATTAAACCAGACGATAAAACAATAGACCAGGATGTCTTAAAATTCCTTAACCAATTACCATATAATGAAAGGTTTTTAAAAATCTGCACTAATTATATTCTGTTTGTTTAATATTTTTTTAAATAAAATACATATTAAAAAGAATTTTCCCAAAAAACTAAATTAATACAAAACAAAAGATTTTATACATTTTTGTAAAGCGACTATCTATAATTATTTCCATTATTTTTAAGGTCTTTTTCAGAAGGTCATACCAATTTTATGAACAATAAGGCTTTTTCAAATGGGCAATTAACTCCCTTATCTAACCAAAACAACTATTATTTTTTTCTAACCTTAATTTGCCAAATGACTAAGGTAAACTGTAAAACAGTCTGAAACCCCTGTTGTTAATTTCTTTTAATTTTAGTCAAAAAAGCGAGATTTCACTCGTGAAACATACCTGGAAAACAAAGTCGATCTTGTCGTCGAGGGAGCCCCGCGTAAATATCGAGAGCAGGATGACGAACGCCTGAGGTTCAAGGCCGGGTGAATTGGGTTCATCCAGAGCCGAAAATATCCTCTCGACGATGTCCTGCCTCGATATTCCGAATACGTTGTGGATGAAATTACGAAACTCCGGCCTGGCTATCGGCGCTCCTTGGGTCATCTGGACAAAAAAAAAAGACTTTCAACAAAGGGGAAAAATCCGCTATTGACGTTAGGTTTCAATATGTTAACAACTATGATCAGTATATATATTATACACTTTGGTCCTATTAACCAAAGTAATAATTTTAATTGATTTATTGTTATGCAAAGTTGGTCCAGTTGAAAAATTAGTGTCACGGACTTGAACACACGACCTCCGGAGGTGACACTGCTCCTCACACTAATTTTTCAACTCAACCATACTTTCCAAAATAATAAGCAGTATAGAATTCAGAGCGAAAAAACAAAACCCAGTGTCGTGGTAGAAAATTCAGTATAGTACCAATTTTTTTTTTTAATCATTATATTATTTCAAGAAAGATGTGAGCAGGAGGTACAGAGGACACTTGGATGTTGTAACAAAATATGTAAATAATAAATAACCAGCGTATACTATGCTTAAAAAACAATTATAAAAAATCGTTTATAAAAGGTTATATTGATTACTGGTCAAATTGTGTAAAAAATTAATCAGTTTATATTTTTATACATCAGCTTATAGTTTATAATTTGGGGTGTGCCAAAAGAAACAATACAATAATAATACATCACGTCGGGCTGGAGGGTAATGAACGTGCGGATGAGGCGGCAAAGGCCGGGACGTCCAACCCTTCAGACCGGACCATCGCGACCAGGCTCTCTGACGCCAAGCTAGAAGTAAAGAACATGATAAAAGAAAGATGGCAGCGTAGTGGGCCGGGTCGTCCGAGAAGCTTTTGCGCGTCAAGAGCACGATTCGTAGATGGCCCCCCGAGAACCTGAGCCGGAAACAAGGAATCGTCCTTACGCGATTAAGAATAGGCCATACGCGGTTGACACACCCAAAACCCGCGCAGGTACCCCTTATGCACAGAAAGTCGATGTGTCCCACATACTGGAAACATGTCATGCCTTGGCTCCCTACAGGGAGCGTGTAGACATGCCATCCATTCTGAAAATGGTACTCGAGCACTGCAGTGGCTTTCTGGGTCCCCTGATCCGCTTTTTAGGGGAAATTGGGTTTTTTTTATTGTATATAATATGTCTTATGTGTCGTGTGTCTATATGTTTTGTCTGAGTGCATGTATTTATTAGCGTGAATGGCGATGTGTGAGTGTGAAATAAAACGTCATCATCGCCCCTCGAACATTGAGAGTGTATGAGTGTGTGTTCGGGGTCGATGGCGGAATACTTATAAAAGTACTCCATCGACCCCAACCTAGATTAGTTTGAGTATAGGTCGGTGGAGGAAAATCAAGTACTCACCGACCAAACGGAATGAGTGTATTGTATGAATGTAGTGTTTGAAAGTGTAAATAGAATATAGACTTAGTTGGGGGCTGAAATGACCTAGATGTCGGAAGCCCCAGACAAAAAAATAAAATAAAATAAAAAATAACAATAATAATACAACGGTTCCAAAACAAAGTTCTATGAAATATGGTCGATTCTCCTTGGTATGTTCGCAATAGCGACATACATAGAGATTGGAACATCCTGCACATAGACACTTTTTTCAACCAACAACACAGGGATCACACTTTTTTCACCACCTTCGTCTTTAAAGCCACCTGCTACGAAGTCAGCACATCGACTGAAGAGAACTCATTAAGTAATTTATTAGTTATTTATATACAACCCGTAGAACCTCAACTAGATAAACTGTGACACTATTGAGTGCACTAACGGATATTTATTATTTATTTATTTGTAAATTAGTCATTGTAAAATTAATAAATTGTCTCATTTGGCCAGTTTTAAATTAAAAAATAAATTAAATTAAAATAAAAAGTTTATTACTTAATTACAAAAACAATATATCTACAAACAATAAACGGAAGAGTGCGATATATTCTGCTTAAGAAATTATATATTTCTTTTCCCGTGTAGAATAAGTTTTAACAAATTATTCCAATTCATTATTCTTTTTATTTAAGGTTTTTTATTGAAATGAAAAACCGTAGACAAAAAATAATTGGATTAATTAATATGATGAATTGTGGCCACTCAGCAAATATGGATTAATTTTAAAAAAAGTTTATGTAAGATTCTATATATCAATTTATTGGAAATTTTACAATTTAAATTAAACGTTCAAAGTGTTTTATAATTTAAAAATATGGATATAACTTCCTCGCGACAACCAATCGTTAACATTTTTTCAACTTTATGGATTTTTTTGTAAGAAGATTATAAAAGAGTGGAGAATTACTCCATTGATTACACTCCTGTTACATTCCTCACTGAGGAGGAAATCGCGAGGTCATCGACGGATTAGGCGTCTTAGAGGATTGTTTGGAAGAGAGAAAAGATGTTGGACTGAGGGTCCGGGGTTTTACACGTCGTCTGTATCGACTTCTTTCGATTTACAGGACAAATGGGATTTGGAGGTCTGTGAGGATAAGTAAGGTTTTATACGAAGTAGGTAGCTTGAGCAATGGTTCGAAGGATTTTAGAATGGAGTGACTTGGTCCTTTGAAGGTTGAACCCCACAATTTCAAGATGCAGTGAAGATGAGGGGGTTTGGTGTGAAAATTTCGATCTTGTGACAAGTGTTGTTTTGCGTAGTTTATATCGGTTATTCATTATTAGTTTGAGTCGAGTGCGATATTGATTGTTGGGAGAGCAACAGAGTAGTACATAGTGGGGATTTGGCATTGTTGAATCTGATGCTCCATTTCTTCCAAGCAGAATGGTCCTGGAGGTTTCTTAAAGCTTCTGGGTCTTGAAATGATAGCGATGTAAAGAATAATGTTTCGGGATTGATAGGAATGTCTGCAGTGTGTACTGAATAGAGAATGGGACAAAAAATAATGCCTTGCGGAACACCCGCTTCGGCGTGGTGCATGAGGATTCCTACTTTTAAGTACCTATAGGACAGATTTTGGACGAGGTAAAAAGTGAATGAAAGGTTTAGTTTTCTAGAGCATTTCCGGCTGCCACACTTGATCGAAGATATGCCTCACGTCTCAGTATACCTTTCCGCTCAAAGACGGACGGGACGATGTCAACTCCCTGTTTCATTATTGTTTTGCCTTGAATCTTTTATGTGCAAAATTCCAATAATCATTATAAGACATTTGGTATATTTTTGTAAATATTGTCACATTTTCTTTTTTACATTTTAACATTGAATAAGTGTAGAATGCTGCAATATCCCTCTCTCCTCTACTATACTAATGTGAAATATAACGAGAAAATAAACGAGTTACCTTGTAGTATATCAACAAGATGCAACTCAACTCCCAATCGTTGAATGCAGTTTTTCCTCGGAGATCTTCAAATGCGGCCCTCATTTTATGCTTCGCTCTTGCATCTTCCGACTGCGTCATCGTCAGGTCCAAGTGAATTACTCTCATTGCCGGGCTGAAATTGAAAACGTAAATTTTTTTAATGAAAAACATATGGAAAGCCGAGTGCGGTTGGCTATACCGTTGACTAGGGGCTGCGTTCTTTTTGGTCGTCAACGACCGGTTCAATTTTCCTGGCTTCGTCATGTCGGCTATTTCCTATTTGATCTTAGATAAAAGAATCTAAAAGAAAATTAGCAAAAATTATTAATTGTAAATAATTGTAATTAATTGTAAAATAATATTATTTAGTTGCAAAATATGTGATCTTTAAGAACATCGTCCCTGATGATCTCAACATGTTTATTTTTTTCTATTACATGTCTGTGCCTGCTTAAACGTTTCTTATGAAACTTTAAGCGAACCTTGATGATCAGAGATGATAAACTGTTTGAGGGAAGAAAGAGTGCGAATATGTATTAACGTAAGTTAAATGTATGTAAGTGTGGTCGTCATTTGCCTTCGCTGGTGTTTTGCTGTAGCAAATTTGGTCAAAACAATACAGGCGATATTGTTACAGTCCTTGGTAATGTAAGGACTGAGTCGGTCTTCAAGGAAGTTTAAGATCCCCTGTAGAAAACTTAAATATTGACATATTTAAGTATCTTAAATATCTGTAGACATATTTAAGACTGTTTTGCCCAGATGATGCCTTAAAATAGATTGAAAGCTTGGCAGTAACAACTGAATTTTTTTTTTCTTCAAGACCATACTTCGATCCAGTGTTCGTGAAATACTATACAGATAGAAAGAGAGGGAGAGAGAGAGAGAGTGAGAGAGAGAGAGAGGTAGAGTGTAAATGAGAGGAAGACAGGGAGAGAAAAAAGAATAAGAGCTGAGCGAAAGAAAATTTAAAGGATCCCGCTCGTGACACATGTTGTACACTATACATTATACATACAATTTATGCAGAATCTTTTGGTCTTTACAATTTATTTTACAAAAAGAAAAATAGTTTTACCTATTTTTTATTAAATATTTCATATTACAAAATTTTTTGGTTTAAAAATGTATGATATAATATGTATTTACTAATGTAAAGAAAAAACAATGAATACCAAGCAAAAGAAAAAGAAAAAATATGCAATAAAAACTTTAACAAGAATTTTCATAGTCAGTCATGACTTTAAATTAATTAACCATTATTTTTTAATTTTCCATATTATTACACTTATTTAGAGAATAAAAGAACACATAATATAATATGTGCATAATATTAACTATATTTCCATGATTTTATGATGTTTTTAGTTATTTTCGGTCAGATGTGTTAGATATTTTCTTTTGGAAGTATGAAAACTGCCCTCAGAGGAAATACTATTTGGAATAGTACAGAGAGAGAGAGAGAGATGGGTGAGTGAGTGGGGGAGGGAAAGGGATGGGAGAGAGAGAGAGAGACAGAGAGAGAGAGATTGTGATTGAGAGAGAGGGGTGAGTGAGTGGGGGTGGGAAAGGGATGACATGGAGGAGAGAGAGATTGAGATTAAAAGAGAGAGGGGGAGGGAAAGGGATGGGATGGGAGAGAGAGATTGAGAGAGAGAGTGAGGGGGAGGGAAAGGGATGGGATGGGAGGGAGAGAGAGAATGAGAGAGAGAGAGAGATGGGATAGTGAGTGTGTGAGGGAAAGTGATGGGATGGGATGGGAGAGAGAGAATGAGATTGAGAGAGAGCGAGTGAGAAAGAGAGAGAAAGAGATGGGAGCGTGAGTGGGGGGAGGGAAAGGGATGGGATGGGAAAGAGAGGGTGATTGGGAGAGAGGGAGAAGAGTGAGTGGGGGTGGGAAAGGGATGGGAAGGAAGAGAGGGAGAGAGTAATTGGGAGAGAGGGGGAAGAGTGAGTGGGGGAAAGGGATGGGATGGGACAGAGAAATATTGAGATTGAGAGAAAGCGAGTGAGAGAGAGGATGAGAGAGGTTAAAATGAAAAATGTATGTAAAAGTAAAGGCTTAACGGATATTATAAAGCGGTTGTTGTATCAAAGGAACATGTTTACATTTGACACAAAACAAACTGGCATATACGTTTTTAAGAGTTGTTTTGAGCATTGATAAGTTTATAAATGGAAGTTGCCCCGCGCTCCTTATGTCAATAATGAGCTTAGCAAATTCCCGTTGATTGTATAATGTAACAAGTCCAATGTTACTCTTATACGGTCGTTCTAATGGCGCTTCAGTGGCAGTCCACATGGTGTCACCTTTAGACTGTTTTTATACGTGTACTACGGGCATGGGACAAAAAGGTGCTGAAGTGGTAGCGACTTTTTCACAATAGAACAAAAATATGTTAGCAAAAAGCCGGCAAATTTCACGGAGTAACACGTATTTAGTTATGCTTGCATTGGACAAAACAGCAATCCGACTGTTCGTACCCTCAACATGAATGGAAGATTCAAAGAAATCCATCAATATTTTCCCATTCCTTCTTGCCCTGTAACAGAGATTTCGTCTAGATATAAAGAGCTTTAAGGCGTCATGATCGCATTTATACACCATTGGAATATACCGCATTAATAGCAAATGCCAAAAAGAATAAACAATCCTTCTTAATAAATGTGTGGTGATTAGTGACCGTTAGTCGATGATTATTCGGAAATCGTGAGATGCGGTCTGGTGTGATGTAGGTTTCAGAAAAACATTTTCTTTATCGTGCCAACGTTTCGATCTTTATTGAGATCATCTTCANGCATATCTAGCCGAAGGTCGTGGGTTCGAATCCCTCTCGTGCCATTAACTTTTTTTCATCTCAACTAAAAACCTTAATTAATTGTCATGTATTAATTGGTCAAGCGGACCACGAAAGTAGTGAATTAGTAATTTAATATGTAGATGTAGATGTAGATATAGTTTCAGGGTAAAGTTACTGCGCCCTTTAAGAGCTATTGTATCCCCCCTGCTCTACCTAAAGTACATCGGTGAGTCATATTTCATCAAGAAACTTGATTGATAGGCCCGGTTTCAATGGTTGAAGCTCTTCTATGGTCACATTATACATCCCAAAATATTTTCTCCTGCGGGCTAATGTAGCTCCGCAGTTTGTTAGAAAATGTGTTAGTGTCTCTTCTGCCTCTTTACAGAATCTGCATTGCCATCTTGGATTATTCCAATTTTCTTTAAGTATCCTGTTAGGCATCATATTAGGATTCGCAGTTTGTTCCTGTTACTCTTGGCACATTCTGTAATTTCTTTCTTTCCAAAATTGGTTAGAAGATTCTTGGATTGTCTGTGTCCAATGAGTGAATTCCGTAGTTCCCTCATTTTATTTTTGTCCTTCTGTCTGAGATACTCGTTAATAGTGTGGATTCCTATGATACAGAAGGGTTCGGGTCCTATCAGCGGTGTAGTAGCCCCTTTCCTTGCAAGGGCGTCCGCTTTCTCGTTGCCTTCTACTCCCATGTGTCCTGGGACCCTACCAGCTGTAGGTTGAGTTTGGGTATATCTTTCGATTGCATGAATCTCAGCTTGGAAGATACTGGTGTATTTTCCCATGGTTTATGAGTATTTGGTTCCAGGTCCAAATACTCCTGCCCCTGTACCTTCTTGTGTTCTAGATCCATCTGTGTACCAAAGGATGATTCTTGAATTTAACATGTATAAATTCATAGGTTTATATAAGGTTCAGTCACTCTCTACGTTGATCTGGAATAAATAGAGTTATGAAAGGACAGAGTGCTTCCAGATAACACGTCTATAATTTGTGTCAACAGGCAGAATGATTATATAATTAATGATAATAATTATACTGTTAGGGTAGTGAGTGTTCGATATTCTCCATCATCTTTTTCACCTATTATACAATTAACCTAATTGAAGGTCGATGGCGGAACGTTGAGTATCCCATCGACCCTCTCACACTTCACATTCGCGTTAATAAATACATTCACTCTCAACACACTCTAGGGACACAAAAACTAACACAATTATATGCAATAAAAACCCTGTTTTCTTCAAGAATCGAAACATGAGGACCAGATACTCGCTGCCGTGCTCAAGTCGACATTCAACGCGCTCTCTATATGGAGCCAAGGATTACACTTATCGATTAGGTGGAGTGCATTGAGCAACCTTTCTCTACATGCCGAACCCTTATGCGGGATTTGGCCCAAAAGCATGTATCAACCATATAACCTTTCTTCTACAAGTCAGGTCCTTCAAGGGCCACCTATCGACATTGTTCTTGATAATTATTCAGAAATCGTGAGATGCGATCTGGTATGATGTAGGTTTCGGAAAAACATTTTCTTTATCGTGCCAACGTTTCGATCTTTATTGAGATCATCTTCAGGGCTCAAAGTGTTTCTCTTCTGTGTAATTGTGCCATTCTTACGTGTCGTGTTGAGAGTGCCCAAGAACATGGGATTCTATGAACAAATTTCAATTACATATGGACACGCAGTTAAAAGTACTCTGAAGGACATCGCCAACAAGGAGAAGAAACTCGCATCGGCTATTAACCAGAGAACGTTTTTGCTGAAATGCAGACAACACAAGGTATTTCCTACTCACATCAAAACCAGGGCACTCTCAACACGGCACGTAAGAATGGCACAATTACACAGAAGACAAACACTTCGAGCCCTGAAGATGATCTCAATAAAGATCGAAACGTTGGCACGACAAAGAAAATGTTTTTCTGAAACTTACATCACACCAGACCGCATCTCACGATTTCTGAATAATTATCGATTAACGGTCACTAATCACCACACATTGTTCTTGATACGCGCGAGCTCCTCTGCCGATCCGGTCCACCGGGCGATTTTTAAATATACATTTTTTTAAAATTATTATCGTCCAGTACAAAAGATGCAACATCCTAATTTTACTTCCCTTAGTATTCAAAGTTCTGTACATTTAAAAATTAGCATTGACAGAAAAAGCAGACAATATTGTTTCATAAAAATAAACTACCAAATCCAAAAAAACCAATCAAATTTCTATAGATAAAATGTAGTAATTGTAATATATAAAGCTAATCAAAATTGAAGTAAAGGCAAAGATTTTTAACCACCTAGCACCTATTCAGTCCGTTTTTTATTTCAACCCCAGTTGGCGAATCATTTCTGATCTTAAATCTTTAAAGCGATTTCGCTGGAAAAAGCTTATAAATTGATAACACTAGCTATTTGTTTTTAATGAAGAAGACTCGTTTCAAGCCGTTCACACATACCGATTTTGATTAGATGCGTCAGTGAAGTTATTACAGAGATAAAAGTTATACTGATATTTTCCAAATTCTTTTCATAATGGAAAACGACAAGCAACTACACAATACTTACGATTAGGAAATTTTAAGCAGTTTCCCTCTAAGTCCGTCTACGACACTGCACACAATTTTGAGACGGAGGCCGAAAAGCGTGAAAAGTTCAAACAATATGACTACTAAACCATGAAACATGTGTTTTTTTTTTGTTATTAAACAGGCGTTATATCATTTTATAATTTTAAATTTTGAAGCTTAAGGAGAAACCTGTAAAATAACATTATCGAGAACAAAAGGCGAGAATTGTTCTAGGCACTGAAACTACAATATATTAAATAATTAATTTTTTCATAATTATGTACACAATCGTTATGCTTTTTCCCTTCTGCCACCGATTAATTTAGAAACCACAAGACAAAAAAAAATTAAGAAAGAACATGATACACCATCTCTAGTCAAAGTGATGCATCTAAACAACACAACAAATAATTCTTACAAAACTTTTCCTACTTCCTTTCCAGGAAGCTTGGTTGGTATTTGAATAACAACTAATAATCATTTATCATTTGGAGTGTAGTTTTATTTTAAATCTACTGATTGTATAATTATGTATTTAAAGGGTTTGACATATCGTCGTGACATTAATTAATGACGTGATTATTTTATCCTTGAACAGTCTTCCATTGTGTTTGTACGTTTAAATTTGTTAAATGCTTATAGTCACTTAGGCAAAGGTCAATTATTATCTTTATTAATTATATTCCATGTCGTCAGATTGTATTTTGAAAGTTATAGGAGATTAATTAAAATTCTTTAAAAATTGAAAACATGTTTTATTTTGCATTGAAAAACTAATGCAAATATTTTGGCAGGTCGTTCATAAAATTAATCAGAAACGATTTTAAACTTGGTAATAAAACAAGACAGACCAAAATGATCAAAAAGTAAAAAATTCGTGAATAAAGCACAATCGTGACTCGATTTTCTTAAATATGAGCGGGAGGGTTGAATGAGGGTTGGTCGATATTTGTCAAGGGCCATGCGCTCGTTCGCCCTTTCCCCATTGCTCAACCGGTTTGTTTACACCACAACATGACAACGAAAGTCAGCGAATTCACGATATAAAATTATACCTAATGAGAATTTTTTTCACTTTCCAGAGACGACGAAGAGACGATGCTTGCCAAGCTTTATACGATCGGGGTCGTATTCCTGGACGTTTTGCTCCTCTTCTGGCGCATTTTCGTCACCATTCTTGAGGCGCTTTACAACTTCTTTGTACCGGTTCAGGAGAAGTCAGTCGTCGGTGAAATCGTTCTGGTAAGAAGATAATATAAGAACTGGGTGGGGAAAAAAGGAAAATACTTCAAGATTACTTAAATGTTACAAAGATAATTTTCCTAGGTATAATTTTTACAAAGGAATAGAAGAATTTTTTAATAAGAGTAATTAGAAGCAAACAATATTGAAACAAGCAGCCGGTGAAACAAAAAAAAAACTGAACACTAAACAATCAACCACCATTTTAAAAAGACTAATTTCTAAATTTTTATACCAGCGTAACTTACTGGCCTTTTAAATACCTCTGACTGAAAATTCATATCATTTTATTGTTGATATCATACTTTACAAAGCGGAATAGAGTCTATATACAACAAAACTGAGTTAATATAACCTATAACCTATAATTTAATTTATTGTTAGGTTAGTCTTTATGCCTTTAGTGAGTATGCCTTGCCAACTGACAGCTCAATGAAATTAACTTTGAGATTAGCCTCAAATTTAATGAAAAATCTAATTTTTAATAATAATCTTTCACATATGAATAAATTAAAATTTACAACACAACAAATATAAGAATTAAAATGTAATTTCTCCCACTCCCTCTCCGTCACCCTCTCCCCCTCGCCCACTCTCACTCTCTCCCCTCTCTCTCTCTCTCTCTCTCTCTCTCTCTCTCTCTCTCTCTCTCTCTCTCTCTCTCCCTCTCTCCCTCTCCCTCTCCCTCTCTATCTCTATCTCCCCTCTCCTCTCTCTCTCCCATCTCTCTCTCATTTCTCTACCCCTATCTTTCTCACCCTCTCCCATCTCTCTACCCCTCTCTTTCACCCCTTTTTCTCTTCCTTCCTGCCTTTCTTTCTTTTTCCCTATCTCTTTTTCTTGTGTGTATTTTGTCCTACAGACATTCAAATAACACGATTTTGTTATTATCATCCAAAATTAAGAGGCTTATTGCTGCACAAATGTCCCAACAACTACAATTTGTTATATAAAGCTGATAGCCGATGTAAACATAAATTTTAAGGAGTCTTTTACATTTTAATGGCCCTTTGTAAATAGGTAGTACAAAACATATATTTACTGAATTGATAGATTACAGGGACTGGTCATGGTATCGGAAGGGAGCTGGCTTTGCAGTACGGAGAACTGGGCGCGACTGTTATCTGTGTTGATATTGATGAAACAGGAAACAGTGAGACAGCCAAGTTGATGAACGAAATTGGAATTAAAAAAGTTCATCATTATACGTAAGGATATATAATTTATTAATAAATATTTTATTAGAAAATAAACTAGGTGCATAATACATATACTTTCTAAATTGAGCTTAATAATCTATTTTGCAATTTTTAGTTGTGATGTTACCAAGAGGGAAGATGTCAATTCACTAGTAAAAAGGGTGGCTAAGGAAGTAGGGCCAATAACTGTCCTCGTCAATAATGCTGGGATCATGCCCTGCCACAGATTTCTTGACCACAAGCCAGAAGAAATCATGAAAGTTTTTGAAGTTAATGTATTCGCTCATTTCTGGGTATGTTTGGTTTGCACAAAATTAATTTGGGGTGATTATTGAACAAAATTTGTTTCAGTTACTTCAAGCAGTTCTACCCAACATGATAGCCAAAAATCATGGACATGTTGTGGCACTTTCATCCATGGCTGGAATAATCGGTTTGAGAAACCTTGTCCCTTATTGTGCGTCTAAATTTGCTGTTCGTGGTAAGTTTTTCTAAATTTGAAATAACAATGCAACAAGGTAAAAATAAAATTAATTCCAGGTATGATAGAATCTCTAATAGAAGAGTTTCGAGAAGAAGGAAAAGCCCCAGATGTCAAGTTCACCTGCATTTTTCCTTACATGGTCAATACCGGCTTATGCAAAAAACCCAAAATCAGGTGAAATTTGTTAATAATAAATGTATTATAAATGTAAATTTTAATGCGATGTTTTGGTTAGATTTGAAAATGCTCTTGGTCTTGTGAGTCCGAAATTAGCTGCTGCGTCCATAATCAAGGCCATGAGGACAAATAAATTTGCCATTACTATTCCACCAGTCTTTATGGCACTTAATGACACGATCAGGTAAAATTTATACATTTTGTTAACTTATACGGCACATTTAACTCTTCTTTTGTTACAGATTATTTCCACATAAAGTTGGTCAGCACGTCAAAGATTTTTTTGACAGTGGTGTCGAAGCATGTGAATAAGCAGCAGCTGACTGAAGAATCTGCAAATTTGGAACCGGTTTTTGTTCAGAGTTCTGATTCTTCAATTTCCGAAAACAAAAAAAATCCAATTCATAACAACAATTACCAAATGATTTGGACTTTAGATTTTAAGTACAACTTTTAACATTTTAATATTTTTTAACTCGATTTCAAACAAAGTGCCCTTGAACATCTCTTTCTAGATTCTAAAGTTTTTACTTTTTTATACATATATGTCTATATATAAATGATTGTATATAAATCTTAAATATATAATTTGATTTAACTGAAACCCTATTCTAGTCATCGATTAGAATTTCTCTGGGTTTAATGTGATCTGAAGAAAATATACATAGGGTAGTTATGAAAAGTGGATACATTTAAGGTATTTAGTGTAATGATCTATTTATACATAAAAATAAAATAAAAATTACATGTTATTACATAACCCTTTTTATCGCACTAATAGATCAGTCAGGGTATTATTAAGATCATTAGAGTAATTTCTAAAATTTGGCTTGAGAAAAAATCATGTAATAACCAAGTTATTATAGTAGTTGAATAATTGATATGATTACATAGCCACTGTGTAAAATCAGAAAAGAATATTGGCTGTTTGAATATGACAAAATATGCTTAAAATTATAATGGGTACGTGTTTCTGCTTTGCACCATCTTCAGCGAGGGACTTCAGAACTAAAGAATTAACGAGTTTCTCACTGAAGATGATGGAAAGATGAAACGCATTTCAGCAACATCAAAAACCCAGTGCCATTCAAAATATGTTTAGGAACAGCTCTCATTAATTACATTGTTTGTTTAAATGTACACCTATGTCAGCAGTATTTATTTAATTTATTTCAAACTGTTTCAAAATGGTACAATAGTGTATTCCATAAATACTCTATAATTGGTTTAAAAAAAGTGGTAATCAATGAACTGGTTAACATGCTTTTTATTAATTAGTTGCTTCAGTTCGATTACAACTTTAAAAATATTTTTCTTGTATGTCATCGAATCATGTTGAAGTAAGGAATATTTTGTAAGTTGTTTTGAGGGTTGAAAAGTGAGTTCTACATTTGTCAACAAATATAAGTAGCGAGGTCTGCAAATTGACGAACCAAAAACTTAAGTTTACCTCAGAAACAGAAGGTTTGAAATATGAATGTATTAATTTGTAATATACTAATATTACATTGTAAGTAAGTATATATATTGTGAGATTTATTGACCAGGTCAGCTGGATGAAGAACACGTAGGTTTGATCGTATCTGTTGTTGTTCACTTATCTTATGTCAGGAAAAGTATTTAGCATGACATTTTATTCATATGACTATGAAATTGTTAAAAACTGTTCATTTTTGCAAGGACAAAAAGTTAAAAGCTTTAGGCAAAATGTGGTAAATTAAATAATGTATATTGTGATATAATTTTTTTAAACCTACGAGAGGTAAAAGCTGTTCCATCAGGAAGCTACCTTCCTGAGTGTGTGGGACTTGCAAGTATTGTAATAAACCACTACCCAGAATCAGCTATTTTCCCATCTTGGAACTGCTATGCATTACTAAAGTTTATATAAGCCACCTCCAGATACTGATTCATCTCCTGTTCTGCCACACGGTCGAACATCACCTTTCGCAGCAGGACCATCTTTATGAAGGCTGCCATCCTCATCCAACTGTTGTGAGACCCAACTATAATTCTGACACATTCTCTGGTGTGAAGTTGAAGGCCCTCTATGCACATTAACAAAATATATTGTAAGCATCATCCCACGAGAATGGCTGAAAATACACAAGGGGTCTTCCAACTTTCTCAATTCTGCTGAGCTATAAGCAGAGATACCTGTGTCCCATCAGGAATTGGGTGGCAAAATAGTCGACCTCTCTGTGTCTCCACTCAGACCATACAGTGAACCAACCAAGCTGTCCTTCTCGCACGAGTGTTGTAGAGCCACCTTTCCTTCCATTTATATGAAGTGAAAAAATCCCAATTTTTTTCGTTTTTGTTTCATACAGCTGAGTACCGAACTGGTACCCTGAGGTTATTGATCCATTTTCTAACTAGAGCCATTAAATTGATAGGGATCACTTCCACAACCACCAGGCTGGCTCAGAAATTGTTCTGTAGGGGCTTGCTATTTTTATATAAGGCTTGCCTTCGGCCATTTTAGTATTTATTTTTTTTTTAGAGCTTTGACCTTGCACCCAGAGCATAATTGAGTGGGTGACCGACATTAAAAGGCGAAGCTTACCCACCAAGGTCATCTATCTACTAAGAGCAAGTGTAGATGTAGATGATTGTAAGGGTGTATTTTATACTGCACCCTTTAAGAGCTATTGTATCCCCCATTCTGTGCTTATAGCACACTGGCAAGTCCTAGTTCATCGAGGAACTTGATTAGTAGGTCTGGGTTCAGTGGTTGAATTTCTTTTATGGTTACATTGTACGTCAGAAAGCACTTCATCCTGCAGGCAAGTGTTGCACCACAGTTTGTTAATAGGTGTGTTTGTGTTTCATTTGCTTCTTTGCAGAATCTACAGTTGCCTTGTTAGGTTATGCCAATCATCTTCAGATGTCCATTTAATTTACAGTTTCCCGTTAGGATACAGTTTTTTCCTGATTCTCTTCTTTCCTTCCAAAATTTGTTAGGAGGTTCTTGTATTGTTTATGTACAATGAGCGAGTCCATTCCATAGCAGCCCCTCTTCTTGCAAGGGTGTCCGCTTTCTCATTGCCTTCTACTCCCACATGTCCTGGGACCCAGCAGAGACCAGTGCGATTTTGGAAGTCTTTTCCCAACCATTCCAAATCTGCCCCCAAAATGGGATTTTGGTTTCCAGCCTGGCACATAAATATTTTAAATCGACCATTGTTACTAGGGTGCCCCATCACCTAGATATTCCTGAATGGGTGGAAATATGTCATCAGATCATAAGTAGTACCAATTCCATTTTTTTCGGCAGCCAGGTTTCTCAGGGCTCTTGCTACGATTACTGTGGCAATGTCAAGACTATATAAAAACATTGTCATATAGTAATGATCATATTCTTAATTAACGATTTCCAAATAATCATCGACTAACAGTCACTAATCACTACACATTTGAAGATGATAAGCTGAAACATGTCTGAAAGGCCAAAATGGTTGGAAAACGACGATACTACAGGTTGACCACGCTACATACCTCATGAAGAAATCTCGCAATTATCTGATTAAAATTATTCAATAAAGCTACTGTAAGATAAAAAGTATTATAAATTATATATAAAAGATGAGGAATTAACTATTAATTAAGGTTTTAAGATGAGATAAAAAAGTCAATGGCACGAGTGGGATTCGAACACACGATCTTCGGCTTGATACGCCGCTGCTCGACCACTTGAGCTATCATGACCTCGATCCCCTCGGATACCAACTTCCCATCTCAACCGCACCTTTTGAATTTTCCCTCCTTTTTGCCATTTTTCAAATGTCGTGTAATCGGGTTGGATTCTCGACGACAAATGAAATGGCCACGGAGAGCTTTAGTGAAGTGTACTTCATTTTTAATTATTATTAAATTCACTAATTTCGTGCCATTGACTTTTTTATTTCAACTAAAAACCTTAATTTATTAAATGGTCAAGTGGACCACGAAATTAGTAAATTTAATAATAATTAAAAATGAAGTATACTTCACTAAAGCTCTCCGTGGCCATTTCATTTGTCGTCAAGAATCCAACCCGATTACACGACATTCACAAAATGGCAAAAAGGAGGGAAAATTCAAAAGGTGGGGTTGAGATGGGGAGTTGGTGTCCGAGTGGATCGAGGTCACGATAGCTCAAGTGGTAGAGCAGCGGCGAATGAAGCCGAAGATCGTGGGTTCGAATCCCGCTCATGCCATTGACTTTTTTATCTCAACTAAAAACCTTAATTAATTGTAATATATTAATTGGTCAAGCGGACCACGAAATTAGTGAATTTAATAAGGAATTAAATTAGGAATTAAATCAAAGGCAGATCATTTTAGCTTTATTAATATAGAGATTTTTAATTTTTAAAAATAAAGACTAAAAAGTACATTTAATGCACACTTGATTGCATATAAACAAAATTTAATACAACAATAGATAAAACAATAAATATACACTTTTTCTTCTAAAAATTATAATACAATATTAAATACTTTCGTGCATCAACTTCAAAATATCACCAACAATTTATAATCATTGAGAAGCTCAGAAACAAAGAATTAAAAATATACTCATTTAAAACAGATTGATCAGTCGTGAGTTATGAGCTTATCAAGGATCGCTTGAAGTGCAGCCTTCTCCTCCTTGAGCTGCGTAAGACTATTCTGGAGAAGATGACAATGTTGTCGCAATGCCTGATTGTGCGCCTCACGAACAACAATGCTGACATCAAGAGGTATGTCAGCCGGTGACCAGTGCCCTGGATCTGAAGTTTCTGAAACTTTAATGTAATTTGATGAAGTCCGTATTCAGTAGCTAAGAGAAAAGTAGCGAGTACCTGGTTTCTTGTATATCTGAAAAGCTCCAGCGGTGACTTGCTTTTTTTCTTCAGGGAACTGGGCAAAATTGGCAAAACTGGGTTGGACCATGTCGTGTGATTGAGATTTCTCGTTGATGGACTGTTTCCTTGGTGAAACCTTGAAAACCAACAACCAACATTTAAATCTCAATCAATCTTTAAATTGTGAAATATGACTTACTGTTCCAGGAGATGTTCTCGGTGGTACAGTTGGAGGCATGTTCAACATTCCTTGCGCTGCTTTGCCTATGAGTAAACAAAAGACTGAATAAAGAAACAACACTAATAATTAACTTTCAATTAATTAAGGTTTTTAGTTGAGATAAAAAAGTCAAATGTCACGAGCGGGATTTGAACCCATGACCTTCGGCTAGATACGCCGCTACTCTACTACTTGAGCTATCGTGACTTCGATCCTCTCGGACCCTAACTTCCCATCTCAACCCCACCTTTAAAATTTTCCCTCCTTTTTGCCATTTTTCAAAGGTTGTGTAATCTATTTGATTCTGGTGTGACAAATGAAATGGCCATGGAGAACTTTAGTGAAGTATACTTCATTTTAACTTATTCAATTCACTAGTTTCGTGGTCTGCTTGACCAATTAATATCTTTCAATTAATTAAGGTTTTTAATTGAGATAAAAAAGTCAGTGTCACGAGTGGGATTCGAACCCCTCGATCTTCGGCTAGATATGCTGCTGCTCTACCACTTGAGTTATCGTGACTTCGATCCTCTTGGACACTAACTTCCCATCTCAACCCCACCTCTCGAATTTTACCTCCTTTTTGCCATTTTTCAAATGTTATGTAATCTATTTGATTCTCGGTGACAAATGAAATGGCCACGGAGAGCTTTAGTGAAGATATACTTCATTTTAACTTATTAAATTCACTAGTTTCCGTGGTCTACTTGACCAATTAATATCTTTCAATTTATTAAGGATTTTAGTTGAGACAAAAAAGATTGAAGGGGTTGAGATGGGAAGTTAGTGTCCGAGTGGATCGAAGTCACGATAGCTCAAGTGGTAGAGCAGCGGCGTATCTAGCCGAAGATCGTGGGTTCGAATCCCGCTCATCACACTGGCTTTTTTTATCTCAACTAAAAACCTTAATTAATTGAAAGATATAAATTGGTCAAGCGGACCACGAAAAATAGGGAACCAATAATTAACTATTTTCTTTTCACAACAAGAACTATCACTTCAGATAATTCTAGTTAAAAGTATCAAATTTGATAATTTGATAGTAAAGTTGTAATTTAAAAGCATCAACATTCATCAAAACGGAGTAAAAACAATATTTGGTATTCATCATAATTCAAAAATGTTTATTTGGAAATTATAATTCTGTACTGACCTAATCTGGTGAGATCTAGAGAAGAACTTCTAGTATGGTGCCGGTACGGCCTTGGAGGTGGAGGTGGCGGAGGCTCTTTCTTGCCACATCTATATCAAATAAAATGTTTTAAAAATGTTTTTATGTTAAAATTATTAGTTTATAAATGGACACACATTACTAAATCCTCTGGGAGAGTTTGTACGGGTGGAGGAGGGATTGCGCCTGGACCAGGAGCTATGGCATAGTTATAATTATAATTCAGAATTATATGATATCGATAAAAGAAAAATTAATTTTAAACCTGTGTGTTTCTTCGGCTGGGGTCGTTGAATAGGCCGGATAACCTCAGGATTTTCTTCAGCCTCCAGTCCGGGTGTGACTCGAAGTGGAACAGGATGGAGGATCTTTGGGTCCTGGAGAAATTTTCTTTCATTTAACTAAAGCATTTCAATTAAAAATAACAGAAAAAATACATATTGGGGAAAATTAATTTTAGCACTAACAAATAAATGTGCAAGGTAAATTATACCAATTATGGTATTAGCTGTACAAAAATCCAACTAAACTGCACTTAAGGATCAGATAATTGGATAATCAGAAATTCAAATGTAGACAAAATCCAATTGCAATTTCCCACGCAGCCACTATGAATACTTAATAATATTAATTAAAAAAAAAATAAATAAATAAATTTTACATCATATTTCAAGATAGAAATTTACCATCAAAATTGCTATAGACTGATATTTTTCCCCTTGGGAGTGATGTCTTTGTTTTCATTTGTAAGAGCATAAATTTATTCATTATATTCACTAATTTCGTGGAAAAACTAAAAGGGAATGAGAAGGGTTTTATCACAGAGCATTTAGTAATGAGAATTCTCCAGTGTATCCAAAAAATACAGTCGGATGGGCTGGAAGTTTCATTAGTGTGGATACAAGCACAAGTGGGAGTAAAAGGTAATAAAATAGCTGACAAATTAGCAAAAAAAGCAACGGAGTCTGGACTCACATTGGCCATACCAGTTCCAAAAAAAGACGTAAAAAGATCCCTACATTTGACTCTTCTCATGGACTGGCAATTGGCGTATTCATCCACAGGCAAAAAGGAGGGAAAATTCAAAAGGTGGGGTTGAGATGGGAAGTTAGTGCCAGGGGGGATCGAAGTCACAATAGCTCAAGTGGTAGAGTAGCGGCGTATCAAGCCAAAGGTCGTGGGTTCGAATCCCGCTCGTGACACTGACTTTTGTATCTCAACTTAAAACCTTAATTAATTGAATGTTATTAATTGGTCAAGCGGACCACAAAAAATAGTGAATTATATTGTAATCTCACATAATTTTTTTGTTTATTTTGTAGTTTGTTTTTTAAATTAATTTTTATCTAAAAATCCTAAAGAGTCTACTTATCTGGAATTGACACTTTTTAAATAAATGTATACCTCAATGTGGGGTGGAATGAATCTCTTGACGTAACATGTAATTACAGAAGAAGAAAAAAATGTAAGCACAAAAATAATTTTTAGAGCATTATTTTTTTAACCAGATACGCACCTGTTCAACTGAAGACTTCTGAAAATCAAAATTGACTGGTTTAGGCCCTGGTGATGACACCGAGTTTGTCGGAGATTCAACAAATTTTGTCCACTAGAAACAGAGCCAAATTATTGCTTTGAGCCGAAAATACATACAAATGCAAAAACTTACTTGTTTCCCAAGATGAGGCTGTCCAGGTTGTCTTGACGGGACGAGAGATGGCGGAAGGACATCAGGTAACGGGATATTATTTCTTCGCAAAACTACAAGGTGCATAGCTGTATTAAATTCCTCTAAGGACAATGCTCCGTCTTTACTTACATCGGAAAGCTGCCTGCATTAGAATAGTATAAAGTTAAAAATAAATAAAGCTTTCCAAAACGAAAATTATAAATAAGTACCAAATTTTTCTAAGTTCGCTAACAGGTAATTTAGACTTTTCAAAAAACGACCTGGCAACATGACCCTGCAGAAGGCCTTGGCTGTCAGGTTGAAGCAAGCAAAACTGTGCCCTGTAATAATCCCTTTGCTCTTGTGTGATCTCCCATACATCACCTTCAACTTCGCCATCACTCTGACGGTCTGAAGATTCTTCCTCAGTGCCCAAAAGCTGTCTTTGCTCTTCGCATACTGCAACGGAAATAAATGGGATATACTCACCCACATGTGTAAACTTTTAAGTAAAAGTTCATGCAATTGAGAGACATTTTTGATCATTAGCACAAAAATTGATATGAATAGCAAGTCATCCATTGAAAATGGAAAAAAAAGTAGTACTTCACGTGTTTTATATGCCTGAGAGTTGCCTTACAAGACAATTATCATACATCGCTTACAATCTAAAGATGTGTATCATATCGCTCTGGTGTGAACCCTACCTTAGTGCTGGTCTGTCAAGTTAATTTTGACTTTTTCGATGAGGATGTTCCAGGGGGAGCATTCCAGTAATTGTAATTATAAACAATTCATTCAGAATGTTTTATTATTGGGTTGGTGCAAAATTAATGCAGGTTTTGAAAACGTGTTTTACTTTCACAGGTGTAATGTAAATAAAGCAAAATCCTCCAATCAAATTTATGGATTACAATAAATACTTTTAACTGTTACCTTTTAGACAAAACATTTTATCTACTGACAGGTTGAAAAATTCCAAGACCTGCAGTGTTGAAAACTTTTATTCAATTTAGTAAATTACAGACGTTCGGCTCCTGGCCCATCATCAGAAACTAAACATGAGAAATCTCATGGTATAATTCACAATCTGAAGGTACACCCATCAGTAATTTCCAATTTTTTAAATAAAATTATTTATACCTGGACTATGCCAATGATACATATATATTATTTTTCCACCCCCACAAAACATTTTAGTTTATTAATCCATACACCTTTATATAACAAAATGGCAAAAAGAGGGAAAATTCGAAAGATTGAGGTTGAGTTGAGGAGTTGGGTCCGAGTAGATTGAAGTCACCATAGCTCAAGTGGTTAGAGCAGCGTATTGTGCCAACAGCCGTGGGTTTGAATCCTGCTCATAACAGTAACTTTTTCATCTTGACTAAGACCTTAGATAAAAAGAATAATTAATTGAAATTTTAGTTTATATTGAATTTTTAAGAGTAAGGATCTGCGAAATTAAATATGTTCAAACTAGATTTTCGTCGATTTTATTTGTACGAATTTTAACTTAAGCGAAGTGCAGCCCAAACCGCACATACTACTAATACAGTTTGGGGGGAGGGAAGCACAGGGAATGAATGGTGCAGCGATGGTTTCAGAGATTTATTTTGGAGATTTCAATGTCAAAGATAGGGAATTGGAAGGTCGCAATTGTGGACGATGAACAACTCAAAATATTGATTGAAGAAAATTCACATAAAACATCACGGGAAATCGCGGAAGAGCTTAGTGTTGGCCATCCAACTGTTGTTCACCATCTGGAGCAAATTGGTAAAATAAAGCTCGATATGTGGGAACGCAGAAACTAACTGAAGCCCAAAGAAATCAACATTTTAAAATGTGTATGACTCTTCTGTTGCGCCATCAAAATGATCCATTCCTTGATCAAATCATGTGTGATAAGAAATTGATTCTTTACAATAATAACAGAAAGCGTAAAGGTCAAAGGTTGGGCAAGGATGAAGCGCCGAAACACTTCCCAAAACCAAATCTGAACCAAAAAAACAGTTATGGTGTCTGATTGGTGATGTACTCCCGGGGTTATTCACTATAATTGCCTGAATTATGGTGAAACTATCACAGCAGAGAAATATTGCCAAGAAATTGACAAAATGCACGGGAATTGCAACGTGTTCATCCAGCATTGGTAAATCGACCAGTGCTGATTCTTCTTCACGATAACACCAAGCCATGTCGCAATGCTAACCCTGCAGAAACTTAAGAACTTAGATGTGCAACCTTACCTCATCCTCCGTATTCACCCAATTTCTCGCCTACAGACTTACACTTAGGCACTTTGATCACATCTTGAGGGATAAAATATGTAGAGAATGTGGTGAAGCCAAAAATACCTTCCAAGACAGTATTGTGAGTTCAAATAAAGATTTTACATAGATTTACATCAGTGAAATAAAAGTGCTTAATACATGGCAAAAATTTATAGATTGTGATAAAAAATATTTTGAACAAATTTTCTTTATTTTATCTATATTTGTTTAATGGCCGTAACTGACCATATTAATTATTCCAATTAATTCAGTTGATTTGAAGTTTGCCATAAATATCAAGTTAATAGCACCTTAAGAAATGTTATTTTGTCTAGTTAAAATTACAAAATATAACTTTATGCCAATGTTGATCAGTAATACAGTTAATTAAGGTTTTTAGTTGAGATAAAAAAGTCAATGGCACGAGCGGGATTCGAACCCACGATCTTCGGCTTGATTCGCCGCTGCTCTACCACTTGAGCTATCGTGACCTCGATCCACTCGGACACCAACCTCCCATCTCAACCGCACCTTTTGAATTTTCCCTCCTTTTTGGCATTTTTCATATGTCGTGTAATCGGATTGTATTCTCGACGACAAATGAAATGGCCACGGAAAGCATTAGTGAAGTATACTTCATTTTAAATCATTAAATTCACTAATTTCGTGGTCCACTTGACCAATTAATATATTACAATTAATTAAGGTTTTTAGTTGAGATAAAAAAGTTAATGGCATGAGCGGGATTCGAACCCACGATCTTTGGCTAGATACGCTGCTGCTCTACCACTTGAGCTATCGTGACCTCGATCCACTCGGACACCAACCTCCCATCTCAACCACACCTTTTGAATTTTCCCTCCTTTTTGCCATTTTTCAAATGATGTGTAATCGGTTTGGATTCTTGACGACAAATGAAACGGCCACGCAAAGCTTTAGTGAAGGTATACTTCATTTAAATCATTAAATTCACTAATTTCGTGGTCCGCTTGACCAATTAATATATTACAATTAATTAAGGTTTTTAGTTGAGATAAAAAAGTCAATGGCACGAGCGGGATTCGAACCCACGACCTTCGGCTTGATACATTGCTCCTCTAACCACTTGAGCTATCATGACTTCGATCCCCTCGAACACTAACAACCATTCGATTTTCCCTCTTTTTTTTTTTTGCCATTATTTCTTTATTTTATAAAACAAATATAGTTTTGACTGCCTTTTCAAAACCTGTATTATTTTTGCACCAGCCCAATAGATTGAAACGTCAAATCTATTACAGGAAGGGTTGTTTTTTTAAATAAATAAATTACCTAGTGTTTGCCAATGCGTGGTGTACCAGTTCTTTTCATGGACAGAATTTGTCGGTGTCGGCGAGTCGCTGGCTGTGCTGGAAGCCTCGGGAGAAGTGGTCGCTGGTTTGGCCAGGCCGTTGCTTTTTGGATGTTGGTCCGTTTGATCCAAAACGACGACCGGCTCCTCCTGAAAAAGGGCCCTTTTAACTCTGAGATCCATGGCCCTTGGGCGACAGCCGGACGCCACAGGTTGCCCTTAACCTTTTAATTAGACCCTTTTCCTACTCACTTCCGTCCTGTAAGACGACATTTTCTCACTCCTCGGCTACAAGGTGGACGAGGTCATTTGTCCTCTGGGATCCTCCTTTTTTTTCCACTTTCTCCCGATTTAACCAACTTTAAGGATTTGTCACAAATCCATTACGGATAACCATTAACCAATGGTAAAGAAACTCAAGAACGTCTAGGTTTCCAGTGTTGACATTTTTCTTTTCAATTATCTCTTATTTGTTTAATGCCACAGCACGTTTTTTTTTCTCTTCTTATCGGGCGTTTGTTTTATTTAGGGGCCAATTCGCAAGTTGTTTTTTTATTTTTTAATTGCAACATTACAAAAGTAAAGAGTGAGACTGTACTTGTTTGGCGCCCCTCCTTTGCCACAAATTACAAAATACTGTAGACCAGTTTCTCAACCTTTTTTGTGCCATGTCCCACCCATTTAAACTTTTTTAAATCCCTTCCGCCTCACTCTTCAACACCAACATACCTAATCTATAATATTAAAATGCTCACTGAATAAAGTTAAAAATTATTAGGAAAATCACTATTGAATAATTGATAAAGCACAGTAAACAATTTTTTTTTTAACCCCAAAACCATTCCAAATCTAGCTAAAAACAGTCATTGGTGGATGCTAAAGAGTTAGTTTTGACTTTATAATTAAATAAATTTAAATAAAAAGAGTTGGAATACAACACCTGAGACTCAAGTCCAAAATACTTTTAAAATGGGCATCTGATAGAGTCAAATTATACTTCATTGCAAAATAGTTGACTTTTCGCACTTAACATCTTTGAAAAATATTTGCTGGACATTAATTAATAACCAGCTAAAGTAAAAAATATAATTTTCAGTGAAATTCGTAGATCTGATAAAACCTTATTTTCTCTAAAAGAGAAAAAACTCCCATAGATTTGGTTGAAATTTACAAATTTAGCAAAAGATAAAATGCAATTAAGTAGTTAAATCCTGGGTAGACTCGTACCCCATCCTTAAAAGGTCCGGGACTTGGTCAGCTCACGGGTCCTGCATAAACCTCTTGGACCTGTTCACAAACCCCAAGATTTTGGACCATTTTATCTTGGGGAGTGATTTGGCAATGTCCTCTCCTTCAAAAGTTTCAAATCTATGCCTGGCATACCTTTCACACTCTGCGAGGTAGTGCTGTGCCGTTTCTTCTTTTATTTCACAGAAGCGGCAAAAGGGGTCTGGTAGGATACCCATTATGATGAGGTGTCTTCTCAAGGGGCAATGGCCCGTCAGGATACCTATGAGCCTCCTAATTCCCCTCCTTGAGTTAGAGAATAGCCATTTCGATTCAGCTGGTTTGATCACCTTAACAAACTCCTTCGATTGCCTATGGCCGGGGGACAGATTCCATTCTTTAAGGAATTGTTTCATGCCCCAGCAATTAACTCTCTTTCGCTGTGCTCATAGAGTGAGGTACTACCAGTTGTGGCCCGACAAACGCAGTATTTGAGCCTTCTTTGGCCAGGCTATCCACCTCTTCATTGCCATAGTGTCCCTTATGAGCTGGTACCCCATATGAGGGTTACCCTATTCTCGTACCTGGTAGTAATCCTATTAATAAGTTCAACAATTTCCTCCACCAGCCTAGATGTTGATAGCTCTTTTTGTAATGACTTAAGACGCCTGACTGTCGGAAAAAATTCTAATGTCTTTTCCCTTGATCTTGTTATCCATAAGTGTTCTGCAGCAAACATTAATGGCCCATATTTCCGCCTGAAAAACGGAGGTGTTATTACCAAGAGGGGGCGAGATGCTGATCCCTAATTTAGGTATATGCATTCCAGCACCGCTTCCCTTGCCTTTAATGAGTGAGCCATCGGTAAAACAGTCTAGGCTATGATGGTCATCATCCGCACTATAGTTATATTTACAAGAGTAACTATCTGAAAGTACTTTTTTCCTGAAGGGGTTTTAGCCTTTTTCTCACTAACGCTTAATAGTTGGATGTTGACCTTACTCAATAATTGTAGAATTTTCGAGTGACCTATGTTGTTTCCCTTATGGTTCCAACTGCCTTCACTAATTCTTCACTAGTCCACAATAGCAAAATATTAATTAATATTATTTCATGTGAAATATTGCAATGTTTTTTGTTCAGTATGAGATGTCGATTATCAAGTTTTGCACAATTAAATAGGTTTGTCTCTTAAATTATGGGGCTCGGGCTCATAAATTAAACAACATTAAAATTATGATACAAAAAGATACATTTTATAAATTGCACAGCATTGTTTGTATATAAAAATTGAAACACCACATCTTATTGCCAATTTTTTGCTTTATAAATTTGGAGTTAACTGTAGAAGGTGTTGATATGCAAAAGCCAGTATTGGTAACAAATATAAGCCTATAAGATTACATATATGGTGTTAATTAATATTTATTGACATTTTACTATTAAGTTCGATTTTATCCTTTTCAAAAAAACGTGAATAGCTTGTATATATCTGCATATTAATATTAACATTAAATTTACCCAAAGATTTAAAAAAATCATTTGTCATTACTCTAGAATTAGGACCTTTAAAAACTAAATTAATACGACTTGACAATTTAATATACGTATCATTTAACTGACACATTAATAAACTATATTGAATTATGAAAAAGTAAAACTTTACTTATTCGGAAATCGTGAGATGCAATCTGGTGTGACGTAGGTTTCAGAAAAGCATTTTCTTTATCGTGCCAACGTTTCAATCTTTATTGAGATCATCTTCAGGGCTCAAAGGGTTTGTTTTCTGTGTAGATGTGTCATTACTGTGTGTCGTGTTGGAAGTGGCACTTGATCCCTGAAGATGATCTCAATAACGGTTGAAACTTAATAAATTCACTAATTTTGTGGTCCGCTTGACCAATTAATATATTACAATTAATTAAGGTTTTTAATTGAGATTAAAAAGTCAATGGCATGAGCGGGATTCGAACCCACGATCTTCGGCTAGATACGCCACTGCTCTACAACTTAATCTATAGTGATCTCGATCCACTCGGACACTAACTTCCCATCTGGGTTATCAGATGGGAAGTTAGTGTTCGAGTGGATCGAAGTCATGATAGCTCAAGTGGTAGAGCAGCGGCATATCTAGCCGAAGATGGGTTCGAATCCCGCTCGTGACACTGATTTTTTTATCTCAACTAAAAGCATTAATTAATTGAAAGATTATCAATTAATTATTCAGAAATCGTGAGATGCGGTCTGGTGTGATGTAGGTTTCAGAAAAACATTTTCTTTATCGTGCCAGTTTCGATCTTTATTGAGATCATCTTCAGGGCCTGGGATTTACAAACATTGTTTACATTTAACAAATACATGTAGGATGTGGAAAAAAGAGAATTTATACAATGCAAAATATATTTTTTATATTCAATCAAAGTATTTCTACTCACTCAGTGTTTGTCTTCTGTGTAATTGTGCCATTCTTGCGTGTCGTGTCGAGAGTGCCATTGAAACTTTGATTGAACATATAAAAAATATATTTTGCAATGTATAAATTCACTTTTCCACATCCAAAATGTAATTGTTATATGTAAACAATGTTTGTAAATCCCAGGCCTTGAAGATGATCTCAATAAAGATCGAAACGGCACGATAAAGAAAATGTTTTTCTTAAACCTACATCACACCCGACTGCATCTCACTATTTCTAAATAAATATCGATTAACGGTCACTAATTACCACACATATTATTTTAATGTTTGTAAAACTAAATTTATCACACAGAATTATTGACCTGTGATGATTAACAATTGATGATTGGGATCAGGTATGTGGTCCAAAATGAAATAGTCATATCGTTTTTTGCCATACTTTCGGATTTTTATTAAGCCTTTGTCAGGGCTGTCTGGAAGTATAGAAATAATAGTTAATAATTATATATAGCAGGGGTCGGCAACCTTTTTCGGACAGCGGGCCATTTTTTAAATAAAATTTTTATGCGGGCCGCACATTCAAATGCAACTTAAATAGTGCTTTTATATCATATATGAGTATAAATATTATTATGGGGTGTGGGGATTAAACTTGCGCAGTAAAATAGGTTTCCCACTATGGTTCTGTTAGCGCGCATTTTTGTCACCGGCCACATTTCGGCACGCTCACGCTCTAAGTTTGTTGATTTTTCCTAAAATTATATTGGGCTTTGGCGGGCCGCGCAAAAAGTTGCAAAGGGCCGCAGGTTGCCAACCCCTGATATATAGGATAAATATAGGGTATCCAGATATCAAATAGTTACTAACTGACCGAACCCCTTCAAGCAGTCAACTCATCCACCCAAGCTGGTAGCCAGCAGTTCCTGTCCTTGGTCGACTCATCGCAAGACCCAACTCGGCATTTATCCTGCACCGAGTCAACTTTCATCATGAAGACATTGTAAGTTTCCAAGTGAAGTTAACTGAAGAAATTCAAATTAATCCCTCGATATGGGACATGTTATGGGAGGATTATAATTACAAAATTAAATGGAGTGAAACTTGGAAGTGACAATAGTGTGAGATAGTGCACATTTCCCGATTTTGTAACAAGAGATGACTGGGTTTCTTTTTTCTTCCCTTCCTGCAGGAGGCTGTTGACATGAGCTCACCTCATTAGCCTAGGATGAAGTGGCTGTTTTAGAAAGCTGTATACAAGAGCAGAGACCCAAGGGTCCAATGCCTGTCTCGGGCATATTGCAACAATTCCAACATGAACATTAGGGCATGAGTAGAAAGAACGGAAATATTATTCATGAAGGCTTTTATTGAGCTGATATGAATTTTAAACATTATTAGGAAAGAAACTGCAACACATATATTTATTGGAATGATATGCTTTTTTTAAACAGGAAAAAGGAATGTTACAAAAATAGATTTGTTAAAAGTCCTCATCGAAAGTTTGAGACGTACGAGATAGCAAATGTAAAATTAAAAGGTATAAAAATATATAATTCATTTTCATTTAGGGATAGTTTTACATAGAGATTTTTTAAAGCCTCTGTCATGTTTTCACTATAGACATAAATTGCTAATTAGAAACACCACCACTACATGTTAATTTCGTATTGTGTTGAAATAGTCTTAAAACACATAAGAATTTTGTCTTTTATATTACTCAAATTTTACTTTATCTACATCTAGAGAGATTGATTTTCTCTTTTTTTGTTTTTACAAACATTAAGTAGACCTAGATTATATCTGATTTCCTTTGTCCAACACATTTATTAAATATTCTATATATCATGTCATAAACTTGTTGTGGAGACTTGGAAGCATCAATCTTATAGTGAATTCCTTAAAAAAAAAAATAAATAAATAAATAAATAAATAATAATAATTAAAATGTAATATATCAATACTAATAGGAAAACATGTTAGAATGAAGTTAAATGTTTTTGTTTCAATCTTACCTTGCTTGCAGTAATAATCTACAAGAGGCTTTGTTTGACTTGAGTAAGTTGCCAACCGCTTTTTAAGAGCTTCAACATTGTCATCTGATCTTTTTATCAACGGTTCATTGGTTATCTACAACATTTTTACATTATTATTGTCATGATTATTATATAAATTTTGATAATTACTAACATCATCCGTCATGGGTACTCTTGGCGGGTTGAATTTCTCATGGTAAGATCTTCCCGATGAAGGATGAACCAGCCTGCCAGTTATTCTCTCAATTAATAGCGAATCATTAATAGTAAACTCAATTACACTATCCAAAGAAGTGTTTCTTTTCTCTAGTAGATTATCTAGCTGGTGGAAAAAAAAATTGAGTTCTTTGTTTACAAACTTTCGCATGTGAATCTGATAATTACCTTCTGTGCTTGGACAATTGTCCTCGGAAAGCCATCGAGGAGAAAACCATTTTTGCACTGAGGGGTGTCAAGATTGCTGTCAATCATTTCTACAACCAGGTCATCACTGACAAGCTGACCTATAAAAAAATACTTTATACAATTTTGTGAATATTATAATAATATTGTCATACTATGAACATCCAATAAAACAAATTAAAGTATGCATTTATAAATAAGTGTGTTTAATTTTATTTTTTAAATCAACAATGTAAATCAGTAATAACTGGGGGCCCAGATGAGGGTCCATTTTTTTCTGATTTTGAAATGTATGTATCATTTGTTAGCTTGATGGATGTAGTTTTAAGATGTATACATAGAACGATGTGATTCCACCAGACAAAAATTATGGTGTTAATAATGTCTAGGAAATGCTGAACTTTGTTTTTTGTTTCTTAAATTTAGACCATTAGAACCTTACTGTTTTTCTTCTGGGCCCTTCGTTTAATGTAGAAATGTTGAAGGTGGGGTGAGTAAGTAGATTCACTTTTTGTTAATGATGGTTTTATTGACGGTATAAAACAATCTGTGAGTACATTTACAAAAAATTCGTTTAATATTGTTTGTGTTTCACAATTTTGTAAATAGTTAAAGGTTTTGTTTCTTGTTGCCTGAATTATCATAATGAATGTTTGTAATGGAAGCTAAGACTAACAAGATGGTATTGACTACAGATATTGCTCAAAAATCAAAAAAAACCTCGCTAATTAGTAACAATCATTAATGTCAATGTCAAACCAATTATTTTCACTGTTCAAATTTGTTTGTAAGAATTTGTGTAATACCTGCATCCATGACTTTCTTGAGTTCCTTGCCAAGCTTAGAACCTGCAGCTATTTCAGCTCTGAGCATGTCGCCTGTGGAAAGATGGCACACGCAGAATGCTCTCTTCAGTAGAGGCGCCTTTGAATAGAATTAATTTTTATTTTCGGACACCAGAGGGTTTAAATTGTGTGAAGTTGAACAACGATTATTTTGCTCATCTCAAAACACAAATTACAAATATGAAGTCATTTTACGAGCAATAAAAGTACCATGTATATATTAGCACACATAATATTATATACCGGGTGTCCCAGTTCGTTCTGATGAAACTCAGGGAATCGATTCTACTCTTCGTTTGGAGCAAATAATGCCCAGGAGAAAATTTTTGGAAAGTTCTCTATTTTGAAGATATTTGTCAATTTAGGTTTTGGCAACTTTTCACTACCCTACCACATAAAAACTTGTCAAATTTCACAAAAACTTCTTCATCATTCATGTTTTACGTTGATATATACCAAGTTTTTAAATAACGTTCTAGTAGAGTTGAAAAATAACAATTGAATGTTCGAAAACGTGAGCTAAGGTAAATTTGAAGGGGGGGTAGAAATAAATCAATTAGAACTCGCTTTGTAAAATAAAAATGACACATCTGTGCACACTTGTGCAAACAAAATCACGTTTCAGTAACGACCCTACCTGATACATTCTGTGATGATTATTGTTTAAACTTCGATCCCATCCAGCATTTTTCATTCAACCAGTCAAACAAGTGTCATTTTTAACATGTTTGACCGGTTATTTAAAAGCCTGGATATATCAACGTAAAGCATATCAGATGAAGAAGTTTTTGTGAAATTTGACAAGTTGTAGGTATTTTTTTGTAACCTCAGTAGAACGTGCAATCATGACCAAAATTTTAAATTTTGTAATTTTGACATGTTCCAACTGATATTGGCTAACATTTTATGTCATTCAGATTATTGCAAAGTGGACCGCGGTAGCCGAGTGGCTAGCATGAGAGACTCTCACGCCACAGTCGTGGGTTCGATTCCCACCGTTGCCTCTGGCCCTTTTTTCACAATAACCCCCCCCCCCCCAATTTGAACACACATAAGAATTGTCACCATGGCTAATATGCATATTGCAAAAAAAAAAAAAAAAAGAAAAAGATTATTGCAAAGAAGAATCTTACAGAAAATTTAGTTCAAAATAGAGAACATTCCGAAAATTGTCTCCTGGGCATTTTTTGCTCTAGACGAAGAGTAGAATCGATTCCCTGAGTTTTGTCAGAAGGAACTGGGACACCCAGTATAAATATTAAAATATAGTATTCGGTTGTACCTTATGAAATGTCAGTTTTGTTTACTTTCTTTCTTAATCCTCCTCTTTTATTAATTTAATGTTTACAAATATAGTTGCCATTCATACCAAATTAAAGCTCTTTTATTCCTCTTACTTTCTCAGTCAGTGGTTTGCTTTCATTTGTGAACATCTCTTAGAAATAGATTATTATCAACAACCTCACTGGAATTACACATAATTTTTTTGGTATGAATTTAAACTTCGCTGAGGCACGTCGTAACATCAATAAGGATTTTTGGGAGGATTCTGCAAATGGAAAGACTGTTTACGATGGTTTTTCAAAGTTTTGGAGTGGGAATTTTGAACATGACAATGAGGAACGAGGTAGGCCGGAAACCAAACTTGATAATCACCAGTTGAGGGCAGTAATTGAGTCTTGTCCCTCCAAAAGCACTAGGGAATATGCCAAAGAACTGGGAATTGGTGCTTCTGTGGTTTCAAGGCATTTAAGAGAAATCAGGACAATGAAAAAATTGGATAAATGGGTACCACATGATTTGCCAGAACCATAGAAAGACAAGCGCTACGAAATTTGTTCTTTGCTCTTGCTGCAAAATCACAATGAAACATTTTTGAACCGGGTTCTCACTTGTGACGAAAAGTTGGTCCTATGTGGCAATCAGGCAAGGTCAGCTCAATAATAGAAACGAGTCGCCAAAGCAGATGGTAAAGTCAAGCCTGGGGGCATTGGTGGCCACAATGGTTTAGGCGTTGACACGGCGCTCATCACTGTAAGGTAAAAGTCCCGGGTTCGAATCCAGCGGCCCTGCATTCGAACCCGACATACTTACAAATGGGCTTTTTTTTAACACTGGCACCCTGAGTGTTAACACTGACCAACATATGACCTCTGCTGTTGCAAACCCTCGTAAAAAAAATAAAAAAATTTAAAAAAGTCAAGCCTGCACCCCAAAACATTTTGCTACCCATTGGTGGGGAATGGGTGGTTTGATCCATTTTAAATGTTTAAACTCTGGTGAAACAATCACAGTAATCTTGTACTGCCAAGAATTATACATTTTTTATCAGAAACTCCAAGAAAAACATCCAAGTTTGGTCAATAGAAAGGAACCTATACTCCAACTATGAGAATATTCCTCCTCATATTTCAAGATTGACAATGAAAAAACTTCAAGAGCTGAAAACTGAACTTCTTCCACACCCACATATTCACCTGGCCTATCGCCAACTGATCTCTACCTTTTTTGGGCCCAGGACCGTTTTTTAAGAAATGAAATTTTTCAAACTGCAGACACTTTCATGGCAGCAATCGAAGAATTCCTTACATCTTGAACTACAAACTTCTACAAGGAGGGGATAAAAAAGCTTACAAGCATGTTGGGAGAAGTGTATTTTAGCTAATGGAGAATATTTTGATTGAACAAAGAGGTATTTCTCATATCGATTCCGGCTTTATAATAGCACCCTAATTACTGACATTTCATACGTTCAACCAGATAGAATTAAATAGAAATTGGAAGGTTTTCCCCCCTTGAATGCACATAATGCATTTTACTTTTCAAAAATATATATATGAAAAATTAACCCTGTACAAGTTAATACATCATGAAAACGCAAATATAAAAAAGGCGGTTTAACTGCATTGAAATTTTGAACATAAACACCCTGAGTGTATAAACAAATTATAATATTAAGCTCATATTTTATGTTGCAATAATTTCTACAATACAAACATCATAAATAATGGAATAATTTGGATAATTGATTTCAGATCGGTGTGTACGGAAGCAATGAAAGCCATAAACATGACATCAATGAAGATTTTTTGTTCCAAATTAGCTGAAATACACCAAAAACTATTTTGTACAAAAAATAAGTGAACAAGTTTTTATTATATTTATCATAATATAATAAATTTTTTATTTATATTATCATTTGTTAGGCGGCCTATTTTTTGAGGCAGGATTTTTTTTTTTTGATAATACAATCTTTAACTTTACCCACATTTTGGCAACTCTTGTGTCATAATTATGTACAAATTTTTATTTTATTCTTTCTAAAACTTCAACATCTACTTACAACAAAAATGAACAAAAAACATCAAAATGTGCAACACGCCATGCATGTGGATGACACAAACCTTCAGAATACTAAAGCTAATAGAAATTACTACATAAATAAAAATTATTTATAGTTTAATCATGTTATTTATATGCCCTTTTTGAAGTTGATTAATAAAAATTCAATCTATAACGCACAACATCTTAACATCCCTTATTAAACTACTTGAAAATGGCAACAGGATATTGAAACATCGTGGAATGTCAGTTTGTCTGACTATCGCAAGATGCTGAAATGCCATAGATCGTCAATTTCTTTGACTATCTTCAAAAAAAGCCTATAAATAAAATTAATTAAATCATCCATGAAAAGGACAACAAAGAAATAATTATGTACATGATTGGTGGAAAAATAAAAATAAATATTCCGTGGCAGAATTTTCTTGAATAATTATGGTCATTTACTGATCTCCATCAGGAGCCCAAATGAATCACTCTGTATTCTTGAAGATTTTAAGAAAATTATTTTTAAACCTTCTGGGTTTGGAGAGGAGAATTGAGGAGAGACCCCACTTGGGCTTCTGCGGATGGGCCAATTGAAACCATAAAAAAATTACACCATGGAATACTTTGTTTTAACTTTTCCACCAAACATCTAAATTATAAAACCATCAAAAATCAACACATGGATAAAATTGATTTATAACTTAACTTAAAATGTGTCGTGATTAGTGACCGTTAGTCGATGATTATTCGGAGATCGTGAGATGCGGTCTGGTGTGACGTAGGTTTTAGAAAAACATTTTCTTTATCGTGCCAACATTTCGACCTTTATTGAGATCATCTTCAGGGCTCAAAGCGTTTGTTTTCTGCGTAATTGTGCCATTCTTGTGTATCGTGTTAAGATGGCACACTGAACATGATCTCAATAAAAATAGAAACGTTGGCACGATAAAGAAAATGTTTTTCTAAAACCTACGTTACACCAGACCGCAACTCACAAAGTCCAAATAATGATTAACTTAAAATTTTAAATGTATTGTAATTATTTACCATTTTAAAATTAAAATAATCATATATAATTAAAAATACGAATTATTTAAAAAGAAAATTCTAAATAGTATTCTAGTAATCTTCATAATGATCATATCTTAAATTTTTTTTTACATAATTACAAATAAGAAATAATAACATAAATTGAATGATAAAAATCTTAGAAAAATTAAACATGCAAACAAGAGCGTAAAGAATGGAAACAATTTGTTATTTATTACTTATTTCTTTATCAACAAGACTGGATAAAGTACGTAAAAAAAATGATTAGAGTGAAAATAGGTTATCTGTGGAACCTTCAATTTATTTAAATTATAACACACTTGTCTTCCTAGCACCAAATTCCATAGTGGCTTATAAAAATTGGAAAATATTTTCACAGGAAATTGAAAGTGAGTCTGCAAGGTCATCAGGGCATCATTGTCTGCCTATTCTCTCTGGTTTTATTTATCTGCTGAGAATAGGCAGACTATGATGATCAGGGAGGTTGGAGCATTATTATTATTACTTTTTTTTTTTGTGTGAGATTTCTTCATGGCATCTATGAGATGATGAACATGTTTGGTTGTTACTGATCATTTTGGTCTAGTTAACCCAGCTGAGGATAGCAAAATGCTAAAATACCCACACACAGGATTATCTTTGAGGTTTTGGTCTGTGCAATCTGAAACGAGAATTTACTGTGTCTATGGTGAAACCCTGAATTCAATGATGAACGGTATAACGCAAAAAACCTGAATGGAAAAAAAATAGTTTCCCTCAAAGCTCAATGGTTCAAAGATTCAGCCAAGATATTTGATGTCAATACATAATTTCATTTAAAAAAAAATATGATAATGCATAAAAATGAACAAAAAAATAGCATCAAATGTTTCAGGTATGATGTGACCATGGGCTTAAGCAGATATTATGGTGAAATATTTCTAGTTTTTGAAGCTTTTTACAGTAATCAAAACATCAATGTTGCAATGAGCCTTTTGTATGGAAAAATGACTGGTCTATTAACATCCAATTGACCAAGCACTGAAGATAGCGAAATACCAAAGTGTGTTTGAAAATTGAACAAAATTAAAATTCCCACACACATGTAGGATTATCCTTGAGGTTTTGGTTCGTGCAGTCCGAAACGAGAATTTACTGCGTCTATGGTGAAACCCTGAATACAATGATGAACTGTATAGTGCAAAAAACCTGAATGGAAAAAAATTGGCTTCAAAGCACAATTGTTCATGGATTCAGCCTACATATTTGATGTCAATGCAATTTCATTTAAAAATGTATGAAAATGTAAAAACACACACAAAAAAAAAATATATATATAGCCGCAAATGTATCAGGTAGGATATGACCAAGGGCTTAGGAGATATTGGGTTGTCCGGAAAATAATGCAGGATTTTAAGTTTTCATTAAAAAAAATCTATATAAAATATTCTGTTTACGTTTACAGGATTACNAATTATTTTGATTAAAGAACATTGCTTTAAAGTAACTAGTTTCTTTTTTTTTGTTTAATACCAAAATCCTGCATTATTTTCCGGACAACCCAATATTATTATGGAATACTTCTAGCTTTTTCCAGAAACCTCAATGTTGCAATGAGCTTGTCGTGCTAGTCTACTCACTGTATCTTTTTTATAATCAACGTTATTATCAATTGAAGAAGATGAAAACATGTTTATCCATCCATTCTCAAGAAATTGTGGAAGTCTTTTGGGAAAACCTCAAATTCTTTTAGATTTACGATAAAAGATCATAATGATGCTTCCTTTATTTCTTTAGTTGAAACATACATCAATGCGATCATGGAACCCACATCAACCAAAATATCGTCATGATCATTCATGCCATGATGACTCTAGAATTGAAGAAAAAAAAAAAAAAATTACGGGAATTCCACATTGTGTGTATACTCAGGTGAAGTTGGAAAATCCTTGAAGATTTCTGACATGTGTACGTGTACTTTAATAGACCAACCAGTGAGGATAAGTCGACCAAAATGATCAGACATCACCAAACTACAATTGCTTCTCATGAATCTTTGTGAATATTAAAGAATTTGATTGTGAATATAAATGAATATTCATGTAATTAACTCACCTTAAAAAATTGAAAATTATACATACAATTATGATCAAATATTTAATTTATGAATGCAGTACATCATTAATGAGTGATGTGTGGTGATTAGTGACCGTTAGTCGAAGATTATTCAGAAATCGTGAGATGCGGTCTGGTGTGATGTAGGTTTCAGAAAAACATTTTCTTTATCGTGCCAACATTTCAATCTTTATTGAGATCATCTTCAGGGCCTGGTCTTTACAAACATTGTTTAAATTTAACAAATACATGTAGGATGTGGAAAAAAGTGAATTTATACAATGCAAATAACTTTGATTGAATATAATTTTTTTTGCATTGTATAAATTCACTTTTTTCCACATCCTACATGTATTTGTTAAATTTGAACAATGTTTGTAAAGCCCAGGCCCTGAAGATGATCTCAATAAAGATCGAAACGTTGGCACGATAAATAAAATGTTTTTCTGAAATCTACATCACACCAGACCACATCTCACGATTTCTGAATAATTAATGAGTGACTATACATACGACTGATGATCTTCCAACCAGCAATTCACAGGTATGTTAATATATTTATGATTCGACAGCGATACATTATTAGTACACAATCACCAAGAAACAACAATTTAAGCAAATGTTCAATGAAAATGAACCTATTCCCTTAGAAAACAATATTCCAACGTTTCAATATTATTATATATAATACCACACATTATATGCAGGATCATTGATGCCCTATTTTTGTTGACACATATAATAAATGAAAATAATAAATTAGCGAAAATGTACGCTATTGATTAGGATATTTATTTTATGGTTTTTATATGCCAAATGTTACTCTTATTTTAAATTTTACTTTACGTTTTTTAAATAATCGTTCTCTTTAACTTCTTCAGTATAAAATATTTATAATTTTTTTTTCTTTGTTAATCAATTACCTGGGTGCCTTTACCGCAACCCGGGGGTCCGAGAAGTACAGCTCGGATCCCATCCGGCCGTGCCTGGGCCGGCTTCGGAGACAGTTTCGCCTCTTGAGCAAGCGGTGCCATCTCTAGAGTAAATGAGAGACAGTGAAGAGTTCAACCCGACGACGGACCTTGGAAGGTTGGAGGTCACGTGGCCCTGCCGGATCTTATCATGAAGGCCAAACACGTCGACATAAAAATCATGATCTCTAGCTGGCAGTAGAACGAAAAAAGTTTTTTTTTAAACAATCCAGACTGGAATTTATGAAAATAAAAATTCAAACAGCCTATTGAACAGATTTTTATAAGTAAAATTTCAACCGTAAAAACAAAATGATTCTGGTCCGACACAGTTCTAAGAACATACAATTCTAAGAGGAGCGCAATTCATTTCCAATACGTTGGTATATTCTTTTCTCTGAGATTTCAAATCTTTGGAACAGTTAAAAAGCTAAGTAAAAAAATAAGTTTGATGTCATTTATTTAGAAATCGTGAGATGCGGTCTGGTGTGATTTAGGTTTCAGAAAAACATTTTCTTTATCGTGCCAACGTTTCGATCTTTATTGAGATCATCTTCAGGGCCTGGGATTTACAAACATTGTTTACATATTACAATTACATTTTGGATGTGGAAAAGTGAATTTATACAATGCAAAATATATTTTATATATTCAATCAAAGTATTTGATGTCATTCATGGTAACAACTTGCTAATAGGCATATTTAATTTTCGTACAAAATCATTTTCTGTATATTTCAGCTAATTTTGGAGAAAAATCATTATTTGACGTTTCATTTGTCAAATCGAATTAATTATCCAAATTATTCCATTAATTATGTTATTTGTATAGCACAATGATTTATTGCAAATTAAACAGGACCATATTATAATTTTTTATATAGGGTGCTATTATTCAAAATTTCAGCTTATTTAAACCAACTTTTTATAAAAATAATATTCATCATTTCATGATTTAAATGGAAATTTTTTATTTACCTGTTTATTTTATTTACTTGATTTTTTACATAATTATGTTCAAATTTTGATAGTGACTATGATTGGAACAATGTCAAACCACACTGCAGGCAAAACATATTTAGTCATTTGTGAACTGTGATAGTGAAGACTCATTTTTGTTGTATGATCTGATTATGACACAAATTATAATATTATATATTTGTGAACCCCAAATATTTTGATGTACTGGTGTGATAATTGGCAGCATGGCTTCTTATTAACCAGAGCTGTTCTTTGAATATTTCAAAGGGTCACGTTCTTCCAGTCAGAAATTACCTTCTGCCTTTATTCATTTAAATATTTTATTCATTGCCTCAGACAAATTATCTGTATAAAATTCAACTTAAAAAAAAAAGTCAAGGGGTTTTCTTGGTTCTGGAACATCAGAAAATGGTTCACTGGGTCAACTTGTCAATACTAGTAATTGGTTGTTTCTTGAAGGACAGTGGTGTGGGACTTGGACAAATGCGACTTTTGTTAGGTAATATTTGAAGCAAACCGGGACTCATAAAACAACCTATGGATCACTAATCGGGTGAAACAAAGTTCAACAAAAAGTAGCTACCCAAACATTAGGCCTAAAAAGACTAGCAAACCTGTGTGTCACAGAGGCGATGAGAACAACTCCTAAAACGCATTAGAAACTTTGCTAAACCTACCTCCACTGGAAATATTCATACAAGGAGAGCTAGGAAAAGCTCACTTAGGCTCCAGAAACAATTAAATTGGAAAGGAACTAAACGAGTCGGGCATACAACCATAATCAACAAAATCAGACACCCATTATTAGAAATGGGGACTGATTACATGATCCCGGAAACAATCTTCACAACTTCCTATAAAGTCTCAACGGACTACAAAGGAGAGGAAGAACACAGGAGAGCATCAGTTACAATGATATGATGCACAGATGGCTCCAAAACAAACGAAGGAATCAGGCGTTTTCTGTACAAGCTCAAAACATGAGCAATCAAACTCATTAGGGAAGTACACTTTGGTTTTTCAAGCGGAAATACATGCCAACAATGCTTGTGCCCTGGAAAATCTTAAATTAATCACTGACAAAAAAATCCTCATAAGATCAGATAGCCAAGCGGCTATTAAAGCATTAGCATGTAAAAGAATCACATCAAAATTAGTCAGTGAATGCATCCAAAATCTCCAAAACCTGGGGAAACACAACAACCTGATGATATCTTGGGTGCCAGGGCACAGGGGAATTTTGGGTAACGAGAAAGCAGACAGACTGGCCAGAGGAGGATCTGCAAGACCATACATAGGCCCCGAACCTATTCTTGGGATAACAAAAACAAATATAGGATCCTCCATCGCAGAATGGATCCAAGCAAAACAAAAGGAAAAGAGGATAAACTCTAGCGGTGCTAGACATTAGTTAATTTTTGGATAAGCTCTGGTTTTAGCAGTTTGAGAATTTTATTTATTTATTTTAAAGGTACAGTACAGTATAGGCTTTAAGCCCCTTATATCTAATATATTAGAAAAAACAATGTGGAAAATAATAATTCTTTAAAATATTAATTATTTATAATCGAATGATGAAACCATATTACAAAAGATAAACACAAAAAACACAACAAAAAGGAACCAGGAAAAAGAAAAAGAAGAGGGAAGAAGAAAAGGAGGTGATTCATGTTGTTTTTAAAAACTCAGATATCATGAACCAGAAATAAGCCAGCTTGTCTTGACCCTGCAATTCTGAAAGATAAGGCTAAAGGTTTAGAGGAGTGTCGAAGGCTTGGGATATGATCGGAGCGTTTGGATAAGGAATGAAGGAAAAAAGATTATAGATATTGAGAAAATTTATTTCATTTAATTTTAAATATATATACATATATTAAAACTCTTGCTTAGAATGTTAAGGTTGCTGAAGACTTTAATATAGAAAGAAATATGATCCCTTGGTATAAGATCATAACAATATCTAATGTAAGAATGATAAGCAATTTGAAGAGCTTGAATATAAAGCTGAGTGTCATCAGCCTAAAGATGAAATTTGGAAAAATTAAGATGATCATTTAGATACATGGAAAAGAGTAAGGGTCAAGTCAAGAATGGAGCCTTGGGGTACACCAGCTGAAATTGTGAAAAAAGAGGAGATAGAAGCTTTAACTATCTGAGTTCTGCCAGGCAGATAGGAGGAAATGAGATTAGTAGCAGTAGAAGAAAAACAAAAAATGTATCAGCTTCCAAATAAGCACATTATGATTTAAGGAATCAAATGCATTGAAAAATATGCAAAAAAATCAAAATATCATTAATGACAATTTGTTACATCAGCATAGGCTCATCAAAATTTGTAAGCATTTAGACTAGTAGTACTGAAGACCACTAGGCGTCCAATGTACTCAGAGATCACCTGGTACGAAGTTGCCAATTCCCGTTAACCTACCCTGGCCAGGACTTCCTTCAAGTACCAGAAACCTGGTCAGATAGCTGATTAATCTCCGCCGTCTTCGACCATGGCTGCGGCATTGGCAAAAATCACTTTTAGGAGCCCTGCCCTGGGTCTCTCCGGCAGCAGGAACATCCTCAAAGCTAGACCTGCCATCTGCCCTGCCCAGTAAGTGATTTCTTCGTTGACCAAAATAAATACTATTACGAAAGTGTTCCTTTTCTTTATTTAAATAATAAAATTAATTTAGTTGTGCCAATAGATTAGTTTAAACTGCGCAAAAATGAATAGGGACATTTGTAATCTATTCATATTCCACTAATTTTAATGTATATTCTTGGGTGGATAAAGGAAAATAGAACCAAAGACAGATGAAGATTACTCATTTTGTACAAACCCCTTTTCCATTTTAATCAAGTTGTACTAACTTTAACCCTGGAAAGACATAATCTTGAACCAATATTATTGGTTAATATTCACAGTATTATCGTGAGAATGAGCCATCGAGTTCACCGGCAAGTGTATATCACAGAAGCAGTTGGCCTTTCTCAGAGCATGGTCTCCCAGGCTTTAGCCTGATCCCGAGAGACGAAGTGCCAATAGGAGGCCTGTCCTCTCAGCGCATTACGATGCTAAGGGAGGATAGACCTATTGTCACTGCTGCTGGATGGAAACTTTTCCATAGCGCCTGCCAGATCCTAAGGGCGCTGACACACGGAGCGTTTTGACCGAAGCGTTTACCGCATCGGTTTTGCTAGGTTGTGACACATGCAGCGGTATGATGTGTGTTTTGGCCGAAGCGGTTTTGTTTTCTCTCAGTTTTAAATGTATCCTACAGCAGTGCATATAAGCATTGAACGTCGCAAGGTGTTATTTTGCAGTTTGTATAACAAGTCCTGTTTAATAAATATATTGTTCTGTAACTGTATGTAACTTCGTGTATTAGTTTACAGAGTTACCATGGATGAAGAGATACTTTTGGTGTCTCTGTTGTACTATTGTAAGAAGAAGAGAATGGAGAAAAAACAGGAGAATGTGGGTTCATCCAATTGTCGAGAAGAGAAGCGAAAGAGGGCATTTTAAGAATTTGTTTTCAGAGATGAGGAAACACCCTGAAGAATTTTTTAACTTTACGAGGATGTAAATGGGCAGTTTTGACAAGTTACATAGTAAAATAAAATGCCGCATTACAAATTTTTTTCTCCACGTCTATTTTTTGCATCTTAAAAGTAAATTAGAAGACTGACAAACAAACAACCCTTCAAGAAAGTGGGGTACGAACAGCTTGAATAAATGCTACATGTGTCAGGGCTGATGCAGTACTTGGGTACCACTCACTGCCTGGCGTTTTCAAAACCGATGCATTGGGTCGTCTCCGCCACCAACCGACTCGGTTTGAAAACCGACAGGCGGGTACGACCGCTACGTTTGTCAGGTTATATGCAACAACAATGATCGACGCACCGCCTCGATTTTTCTCACGATAAACGCTTCGGTCAAAACCACTCCTTGTGTCATCGCCCTAAATGAAGTACAAGATGTTTTGGCAACGCACAACAAAAACAATTTGTAATCATCATTTGTGGGAAGTTGGCCTCACATCACATGCCCCTTTGATAAGATCTGCAACAATAGCCCGCCACCAGCAATTCAGGAGAATTAGGTGCAGGCAGTCCACTGTGGGACCCTATTCATTTTTGTGCTTTACCTAAAGGTAATTCTTTGAATCACCAGAGAGTCGGCTGCGTCTAGCCTGAGTCCGGGCTCCCCCGACTCATTGTTGCGATGAATCTGGTGTGTTGCGGGCTAGCATTCGGACTCTTTTGAATCCCATCCAATGTTGAGCAACATTTGCCAGTGTGGACGTGAATCGGAACAAGCGCTCTTGCTTCATTTTTTAGTTGACGTTCTAGTGAGTGTTTTCTCGTTGATAGTGTCTTGTATAAAGGTATCTTGTGGAGTACGGAGTTGACTTTACATTTTATTGCGTTCCTATCGGTGTTTGTGCGATGTATCATTCACGGAATACAGAAATCGGAAATTGAAAAGCCAAACATTGAACGGTTTAGCCCAAAAATTCAGTGTTTCCATCGCCAAAATTGAAAAAACACTTTAAAAGGACAGTTTTTTAATGCCCTTGCTATTGGATGCACTACATTCAATGCAAAAAAGAGCAAGGGAAATTCCCGAGAGAGCTAGTTCCTCCGTCATTTTCACAGGCACTGATGAATGTAAACTGAATCTTGGTCTGGACACGGTTCTTTGTCATGGAGCAGAGTCGGGGCTGCATCGCAACAATGAATCTACGCTGCCCAGCAACATGAATCGACTCAAAGAATCCCAGTGTGTACTAGGCTTAAGAAACTTAAACCCGCCCTTGCTAGTGACTATCGCCCTATTAGTATTCTTCCATCGCTATTGAAAGCATTTGATAAGATTTTATTAAACCAATATTCTTATTTATTGACTCCCATGCCGTTATATCCTATTTTTGTTTTTCTGCAAATTTAATAATTGGAAGACAGAGGATATTCGCTTAGGCATTGAAAATAATACATGAACTGTTATTGTTCTACTTGATTTTTACAATGCATTTGGTTCCATAAATCATAATTTGGAAACATGTATTTTTTAGGTTTTTCTTCTACTGTTATTAATGTCATTTCCTCCTACCTGTCAGACCGATCTCAGAGTTAAATCTTCAAATTCGATTTTCTTTTTGCTCAATTTCAGCTGGTGTAACAAAGGCTCTATTCCTAGACCTTTACTCTTTTCCATGTTTCTAAATGATCATTTTAATTTCTCAAAATTTCATCTTTAGGCTGATGACACTCAGCTTTACTTTCAAGCTCCCCTATTAATTTTTGTCTTAAAGTGCAAAATTTAGGCCTTATTTTGAACTCCAAGCTTACAAGGCAGTAAGTTACATACCTTTTTCGCTCTACAGAATTCTAGAGTTCTCCATATTAAATCCATTATAATTCCTTTATTCTCTTTCTGTAGCATTATTTTTTCACTTTCCTTAGACTCAATCTGCTTATCATTCTTACATTAGATATTGTTATGATCTTATACCAAGGGATCATATTTCTTTCTGTATTAAAGTCTTCAGCAACCTTAACATTCTAAGCAAGAGTTTTAATATATGTATATATATTTAAAATTAAATGAAATAAATTTTCTCAATATCTATAATCTTTTTTCCTTCATTCCTTATCCAAACGCTCCGATCATATCCCAAGCCTTCGACACTCCTCTAAACCTTTAGCCTTATCTTTCAGAATTGCAGGGTCAAGACAAGCTGGCTTGTTTCAGGTTCATGGCATCTGAGTTTTTAAAAACAATATGAATCACCTGCTTTTCTTCTTCCCACTTCTTTTTCTTTTTCCTGTTTCCTTTTTTCTCTTTCTGTTTATATTTTGTAATATGGTTTCATCATTCGATTATAAATAATTAATATTTTAAAGAACATATTATCTTCAACATTGTTTTTTCTAATATATTAGATATAAGGGGCTTAAAGCCTATACTGTACTCTACCTTAAAAATAAATAAAATTCTCAAACTGCTAAAACCAGAGCTTATCCAAAAATTAACTAATGTCTAGCACCGCTAGAGTTTATCCACTTTTCCTTTTGGTTTGCTTGGATCCATTCTGCGATGGAGGATCCTATATTTGTTTTTGTTATCCCAAGAATAGGTTCGGGGCCTATGTATGGTCTTGCAGATCCTCCTCTGGCCAGTCTGTCTGCTTTCTCGTCTTCAACATTGTTTTTTCTAATATATTAGATATAAGGGGCTTAAAGCCTATACTGTACTGTACCTTTAAAATAAATAAAATTCTCAAACTGCTAAAACCAGAGCTTATCCAAAAATTAACTCTTTTCTTGATCAAGAATCTACAAAAATATCCCTGCCAGTAAATGCCTTGGTTATAAAGATATAACCTATGAATACAAATATTTTCATTTCCAGATAAGTAAAATTATTTTTCTTAATCTATGACTTGACCATGTCTTAAAGCCGAAATGAGACAATAAATTGGATATTAATATTTTTGCATATTGTGTTATGTAGATGGTGTGATGTAAAAATTCAGGGTAATTTGGCATACTGCACCCTTTGAGAATTAGCTATCGCCCGTTGTGTACATATACTATATTGAGTCCCAATTTATCAAGGAATTTGATTATTAGGTTTGTTTTTAGTAGTTGTACTTTTTCTGCATTGTATAGCCCAAAGCATTTTCCCCTGTGTATAAGTGTTGCACCGCGGCCTTTTAATAAGTGCGTCCGTTTTAACATAAATCTTCCTCAAGCATAAGCAGTCCCAGGCAATCTGCAGTACTCTATTTGGAATCCTATTAGGATTTGGAGTATTTGATACATTCTATTGCTTTCTAAATCTCACCAGGAGCTTTTTGGTCCAGTGATTAAATTCCATTGTTCCTCACTTTTCTAAGATGCTCGTAGATAGTGTGGATCCCTATATCACAAGGCTCAGGGCCCATCTGCAGAGTAGCCTTGCAAAGGCATCCAGTTCTTAGTTTCCTACTTCTGCATGTCCTGGAATCCAGTAGGGTGTAACCTTGTTTTGAAAACCTATATGTTTAGTTTAGTTTTTCAGGGGACCGCGGAGGCCAAGTGATTACGGTGCCTGATTTATATTTCCACCTTAGTGGCAATAGCCGAAAATTTCGAATCCTGGCATAGCCCATGTACTTTTAAAGCATTGTAGTGTTGTCTGTGCTGCCCAATGGGCATTTGGACTTTAATCCCTCCTGTATGACAGGAATTTCTTTAGTTTACATTATTAGTTTCATTTTGCAATTCAGCACCATTCTTGAATTAATGATGTTTGAGTTTAATGTTCTGATAGCTGTCTGGCTGGCTATGTCCTTGTCTTTCGAAATTGAAATTGGCCTAAGTATTTAAACATTTAAAAAATTAAAAAGTAATTTTTTTACTAATTATCAGTCTTTATTGGACTTGGAAAAAGTAATTTATCACACTCTAAAATATTTTTCAACTAAGTTGTCCAAGGAAGTTTCTAGGGGCATAGGTGGTCACAATGGTTTAGGTGTTGACATGGCCCTCAGCACTTTAAGGTAAAGGCTTAGGGTCGAATCTAGCGGCCCTGCATACAAACCTGACATGCTTACAAATAGGTTCAAAAATACCAGCACTTCGAGGGTTCATATAATCTTGTAGTTGAAATAACCTCGTAAACAAAAAAGATAAATGTGTGGTGATTAGTGAACGTTAATCAATAATTATTCAGAAATCGTGAGATGCGGCCTGGTGTGATGTAGGTTTCAGAAAAACATTTTCTTTATCGTGCCAATGTTTTGATCTTTATTGAGATCATTTTTTGCTGAAATGCAGACAACACAAGGCCCTGAAGATGATCTCAATAAAGAACGAAATGTTGGCACGATAAAGAAAATGTTTTTCTGAAACCTACATCACACCAGACCGCATCTCATGATATCCGAATAAAAAAAGTTAAAAAAAAAAGAAACTTACAAATGCAGTGCAATTTGAACTGAGAGCCAGTAAAATGGTAAATATGACCATCAGGTGCTCCAACAATTGCTTCCAAGATCCTATAGTTTGGGTGGATTTATGGACTTTGAATAGAAAGCTTAACTATTCAGAAATCATGAGATGCGATCTGGGTCACATCTCACGATTTCTGAATAATTATCGACTAACAGTCACTACTCACCACACAGAAAGCTTAACTGCAGAAAGCTAGGTTGATCTATTTTTGAAAAAAAAATATGTGCATACAGCCTTAACTGCACGCTGTAACACTTCCATACTTTTATAAATTTTAATGATACTATAATGATAGTAGGACTGCTGTCTCCGAAAGACTGTAGACACTGTACACTCAGAGCAGTAGAAATGAGCCTGTGTATGAAGAAACAGCAGAACCTGTCCCCTGTTGATGTGAAGTCCATTTGCAGGCTGTTCTCCTGGGAGAAAAGAAACCAAGGCTGGATGATACACACAGGAATCCTTAACAAAGTTTTGGGATCTGACAAAATGCCTTTGCTTAAATAAGAGCTGTAGTTAATAATTGAGATTGCACAATAGGCCAATATTGGTCATGGTGCATAGTGCTTAAGAGCCCTCAGAAGACCTGATCCTCATGTATGACAGTCCTGAATGAATATATATTACCCATGTACTTTTTATTTTAAACTTAGAACAATGGACTAGTGACCTGAGGTGAGGAACCTTCCCTAGAAAGGATAGAAAAGGACAGCATCTTATTAACTTTGTTTTTTCCCGTCTTTCCGGTCTTCTCATTGGAGGACGTGGTAAAAACGGTAGATATCGATGTAATTAGTCAATGTACATGTGGTTTCAGGGGCTATTGTGCCCTGACTCCCTCCTGTCCTCCACACCGGGGCCTACTAACAGCAATCTAATCTGTTTTCAACCTCATAGCATTTCATGCCCAATCATTGAATTATTTTTAAATAAATAACTTATTTTAAAGCAAAGAATAGTCATTATATTTTATAATTATAATAAACAAATACTTTTAGAATAAGACATGTTTTTTTGTTAATATTAAATTTTTTTGTTTAACTTTGTTCACACAACATGCCGCTCATCTATCGCTATCTATCTATCGTCCTCTCCTCCACACCATCAAAAGTCCTCTCTGAATTCCCTTCTTCCCGATATATCCGCACACTTATAACCTCCAAACGAAGAGTGAGGTTGCGATGGCAACACCATCGTTACCCCTCTGATAAAGTAACATTTAACCGTCTCACTTATATTTTGAAACTCGAATTATCCAATTACCGTTCATCCCAGCTCCAGTCATACCTTGAATCCTTATCCACACAAGACAACTCTCTTTGGCTAGTTACTAGAAAGGTTACCAAACACTACCAAGTGCCTTCTCCATTTAGAAGTCCCAACGGTACCTGAGCCAGGTCAAACGCAGAAAAGTGTCAGCTACTTTCCGATCACTTTTCCACAGTTTTTATTCTCCAACCCGATATGAATGTCACTTCGCACTCAGATCATATCAATGAATTCCTTCACTCTCCTCTCCCTCTCGCTCTACCTCCTAAGCCCATCCACCCCGCAGATGTTATGTATCAGATTCTCCGCCTTTCCGAAAGAAAATCCCCAGGTCATGATCTAATTACCCCTAAAATCCTCCGAAATCTACCCAAAAAAGCAATAGTGTACATTACATTATTTACAATGCAATATTTCGCACAACCTATTTCTTTATCCAGTGGAAGCATAACTCCAAAAAACCACACAAATCCCCCAGTGCCCCATCCTCTTATAGACCAATAAGCCTCCTCCCTATTTTATCCAAAATCTTTGAACTTATACTCCTTAAAAGACTAATTCCTATATTCGACTCTGAAAACGTAATTCCTAATCATCATTTTGGGTTTTGAATTCTCCATTCCACTGTTCAGCAGTGCTACAGAGTAGTCGACACGATATCTTCAGCTCTAGAAACCAAACAATACTGCTCAGCCGTATTTCTGGACGTTACAGAAGCATTTGACCGAGTATGGCACCCCGGCCTCCTCTATAAGTTAAAATGTATCCTCCCTCATTCCTACTACCTTATCGTGAAATTCTTCCTCTCAGATCGATGGTTTAAAGTAAGAATCGGTACCGATTTTTCATCTATCACACCAATCAAAGCTGGCATTCCACAAGGAAGTATCCTAGGCCCAATCCTCTACACCATCTACACTGCTGACATACCCACACATCCAAACACACAAATCACAACCTACGCGGACGACACCGCAATCTTATCAACACACTCCAATCCTATCCTAGCAACAGAAGCACTCCAACAACACATGAACCTTATTACCAACTGGTGCAATCTGTGGCGGATCAGGTTAAACGAACAAAAAAGCCAACAAGTTACATTTACGCTCAAACGACAAACCTGTCCATCAGTGCACATTTACAACAAAATAATACCACCATCGAACCAAGTCTGGCTTTACTTAGATAGTAGACTTACTTGGAACCCACATACACGATTAAAACGGCAAGAACTTAACAAAAGATATGGACTACTCCGACACCTTCTTGGACCAAAATTAAAACTAAGCATACATAACAAACTAACCGCCTACAAAACACTCATCAGACCTATTTGTACCTACGGAGTCGAGCTGTGGGGCTCGGCTAAATCATCCAATATCCAACGAATTCAGTCTTTTCAATCTAAAGTTCTCCGCCGTATCCTCAATGCTCCCTTCTACGTCACAAATCAAACGATCCATAAAGATCTTAAAATCCCTTTCGTGAAAGATCTTATCCATTACACGCTTCTTCACTTTTCACTCTAAACTCTCCCTCCATCCTAACCGACTAGCCCTAACTCTTTCCTCAACATCTCACCCTTACAATCCTCCAGGCCGTTTAAAACGACGATGGCCTTGTGACCTTCTATCTAATCCACCGAATTAACTTTAACTCCCCCCTCCCAATTAAATAAAAATTGGTTTCTCTCCCTACTGCCTCCTGGTCTGAAAAAAAACTGTTCACTTGTTCACTTAATTTACAACTATTTAAGTCATAATTATAAGCAACCAGCAGATTTTATAACTTTCATAAGTGGTTTTTTATTTATTTTTATTTTTTAAATTATTTATTATGAATTGAATTGAATTATTTTGTATGTAGTATAAGCCAAGAAATAAATGCCATTATTCCAAAGTTCAAAACTACATAAAAAAAGCAGCTGTATTTATATTTTATAGCTCTATATTCTAACAATTAATTAAGGTTTTAGTTAAGATGAAAAAAAGTTAATGGCACGAGAGGGATTCGAACCCATGACCTTCGGTTAGATACGCCGCTGCTCTACCACCTGAGCTATCGTGACCTCGATCCACTCGGACATCAACTCCCCATCTCAACCCCACCTTATGAGTTTTCCCTCCTTTTGCCATTTTTCAAATGTCGTGTAATCGGATTGGATTCTCGACGACAATTGAAATGGCGACGGAGAGCTTTAGTGAAGTGTACTTCATTTTTATTCATTAAATTCACTAATTTCGTGGTCCGCTTGACCAATTAATACTTTACAATTAATTAAGGTTTTTAGTTAAGATGAAAAAAAGTTATTCGAACCCACGACCTTCGGCTAGATACGCCGCTGCTCTACCACCTGAGCTATCGTGACCTCGATCCACTCGGACATCAACTCCCCATCTCAACCCCACCTTTTGAATTTTCCCTCCTTTTTGCCATTTTTATCTCAACTAAAAACCTTAATTAATTGTCATGTATTAATTGGTCAAGTGGACCACGAAAGTAGTGAATTAATCTATATTCTAATTTTAATTCGCCGTCAAGAGTACATATTCTTAATTTCATAAGTAAAATATTTATTAATTTTAATGATTTAAAATATTACTCTTTGATAATAATTTTGTTCAAAATAATCATTAGACATTTACAATTAGTTAGAAAGTGCTTCATTATTTAATTAATTAAATATAAATAAAATAACTTTGTTTAAATAATTTCAGAGCACGGTTTGCTTCAGTATGGTATCCAGACATTGAATTTCTGAAACGTCAGGGAGGAGCAGTTATGTATCCAGATGAGACCACATCAAAATGGAAGATTCAGACATGGACTACGGACGTGGTGCCTACAGAGAAAACGATCAAAAACCTTATCCTGAATTTTGGCCCACAGCATCCAGCAGCCCACGGTGTACTTAGGCTTGTACTGGAACTTGATGGAGAAGTAAGTTTTCAACCATATGTATGTCAAGACTGGAATAAAATCCATTAACATTTTTATTTTCAGCATGTTGTGAGGGCTGATCCTCATATAGGATTGTTGCACAGAGGCACAGAGAAACTCATCGAGTACAAGACCTATACTCAAGCCTTGCCTTATTTCGATCGACTAGATTATGTTTCAATGATGTGCAATGAGCAATGCTATTCCCTCGCTATTGAAAAGTTATTGAACATTGATGTCCCCCTAAGGGCAAAATACATAAGGAGTAAGTTACTATTTAACCACCCCAAATTATTAGGATTGATGATTTTTTTTTTTTTTCAATTTGAAATTTTCAGCGCTATTTGCCGAAATCACGCGGTTATTGAATCATATCATGGCAGTTGGTACACATGCCTTGGATATTGGAGCAATGACACCGTTTTTCTGGCTCTTTGAGGAGAGGGAGAAGATGATGGAGTTTTACGAGAGAGTTTCTGGGGCTAGGATGCATGCGGCGTACATCAGACCAGGCGGTGTGAATCAAGACCTTCCACTTGGCCTCCTTGAGGACATTTATGATTTTATCAACAAATTCACTGAGCGTCTTGATGAGACAGAGGACATGTTGACGAACAATAGGATCTGGAAGGAGAGAACAATTGATGTTGGAGTTGTTTCAGCAGAAGATGCTCTCAACCTTGGTTTCAGGTAAAAAAGGAACAATAGTTTTACACTATTTATAAAAAGTTGTAATTCAATTTGACATATGTTTTAGTGGTGTGATGCTGAGAGGTTCAGGTATCAAATGGGATCTTAGGAAATCACAGCCTTATGATGCTTATCACCTTGTTGAATTTGATGTTCCAATTGGAACACAGGGAGATTGCTATGACAGGTAATCATTCTATTCTAACAAAATTAAAACAAATTGTACAAATCAATTTTCTTTACAGATATTTAATTCGTGTCGAGGAAATGAGACAGTCACTGAAAATAATTGAGCAGTGCTTGAATCAAATGCCTCCTGGCGAAGTTAAAACAGATGACCATAAGGTCTCCACTCCTACTCGAAATGAGATGAAAACATCGATGGAAGCCTTGATCCACCACTTCAAGCTTTTCTCTCAGGGCTATCAGGTGCCTCCAGGCTGTACATACACAGCTATTGAAGCACCCAAGGGTTGGTTTTAAACTTTTCTTTTTCAAATCATTGCGTTCCATAATTTTTTTTTTTTTTTAAATAGGTGAATTCGGTGTTTATCTTGTATCCGATGGTAGCTCAAAGCCATTTAGGTGTAAAATTAAGGCACCTGGGTTTGCTCATTTGGCTGCTCTAGAGAAAATTGGCAAAGGTCATATGCTAGCAGATATTGTGGCCATTATTGGTAAGGTTATGAAAGAAAAAACATTAAATTTTACAGGGCAATATATGCATATATTTTTTCATTTTAGGCACTCTTGATGTTGTTTTTGGAGAAATAGATCGATGAAGATATTATAAAAAAAATTGCTAGAATAAACACATTGTTGGTTTTTTTGGCTTAAAATGTAGACAATTAATAATTTTCCTTAATCCACACCGTATTTATTATGAGAAGCGAAAAATGTATAAATTTGAAAACCTTTTTGTGCACGATAGAATTCATCTCTTGGAATTAACATAGAATGAATTTAGTTTAAAAAAATTGTTACTGTAAATAAACAAACTCCCTTGTTGATTTTTTTAAACATTAGAACCCAAGTTTTATGCTTTTAGAAGGGTAAGAAGTCAAACCAACAATTCTAATAATTCATTCATTTATGTCATAATCATAAACATTTTTATATCATATTTAGGAAGTATTCTTTTGTTCTTTCATTTAAGAAATAAAAGTCTATTTCTATACATTATCTTCAAGGCAGGCTCTCACAATCGAACTTTCATTGATCAACCAAAGTATGCATCAGTAATTATTCAGAAATTGTGAGATGCAGTCTGATCGCATCTCACGATTTCTGAATAATTATCGATTAACGGTCACTAATCACCACACACATATGCATCAGTTTTTGTTCACATACTGAACTGGTATTGGGTTATTTATTTGGTCTCTCTACACTTGCGGATTTTTTAAAACACATTTCGGCATTGTGCCATCTTTAGTGAGGAATATAGGAAGATTCTGTGCATTTGTTAATAGACTGATCAACTTCTGTTCGTTGAACAAACCGTTGAATTAAATTCACTAATTTCATGGTCCGCTTGACCAATTAATATATTACAATTAATTAAGGTTTTTAGTTGAGATAAAAAATCAATGGCACAAGCGGGATTCGAACCCACTTGAAAAATGGCAAAAAGGAGGGAAAATTCAAAAGGTGCTTGAGATAGGAAGTTGGTGTCCGAGTGGATCGAGGTCACGATAGCTCAAGTGGTAGAGCAGCGGCGTATCTAGTCGAAGATCGTGGGTTCGAATCCCACTCGTGCATTTGACTTTTTTATCTCAACTAAAAACCTTAATTAATTGTAAAACCATTGAATGTTCTTTCTTACATCTGGTTCTAACCATCTTCATGTGTTCTTCAAAAGTAAGTCAGACAATTTCCATTTATTTTATGATTAAAATAACATATTTTCCCTTGTATCATTATTTTTTACTCATTAGGAGAGTTCATAAATCATAAATGATGGCAACATTTGGGCCAAAGAGGCCATACAGCATTCCCTGGCAATCCGAGACAATAGCTTCAGCAACTTATATTAAAAATCACATTTATATTGTTTTTTTTTTTCTCTTGAGGGTATTTTAACTATATGATATATGAACCTTATATGTGGGGGGAGGGTTATATGAACCTTTGGGGTGCTGGTGTGAGTTGTGAAAAAAAAAAAAAAAAAACTATTTGAAAGTAAGTTGGGTTCAAATGCAGGCCTGTGGATTCAAACCTGGGACTGAGATGAGTGTCGTGTCAATGTGTAAACCGTTGCGACCACCGATGACCCATTTTTATTGTTAAACCAGATTCTGCTGACTGAATGAAATGGCTGCATACCAAACATTACATACAAAATTATTATTCTTAGATAACGAGAAGCTTTTCATAAATGGCACCCTGGATTTACCTGTCTGATACGTACTGTGAATTGGTGAAAGTTAAACAAGAATCAGGCGAAAAATGAAGCAGCTGAAATTTCTTTTCGATTGCCAGTCAACCTTACCCATCGCAACAAAGAAATTGCTGTATTTAGCTCTTATTCAGCCTATTTGGCAATATGTGTGTATCGTATGAAGGTCAGCAGCTAAAAGACATATAAAACAACTCAATTTGTGATGACCAGATTTCACTCTGGTCTAAACATTTTAGAAGTCTGCAATACAATAAGGGAGTCCTACCTATTACAATTCAGCATGCAATGCCATCCAAAACATTTATGACAGATTACAGAAAACCCATTAGTAAACAAAATAAAACAACAATTAAAAGGGATCGACACAGTTAGGAAGAAGGTCGTGTTGGTGTGGGTTCCCGGTCACATAGGGATAGCCGGGAACGAAGAAGCAGACAGGGCAGCCAAAGAAGCAGCCAGAGGACTTCACCTATACGCCCAGCGGATCTCAAGTTATTAATTTCAAATACGATAAAAGAAAAGTGGAAAAACCGCTGGGCTCGGAAAAATAGAAACAACCCTGCCAAACTGTGGCAGGTTAAGAAAGACGTCGGTCCCTGGTTCACGGAAAATGGGTCAAAAAGGGAAAAGGTCATACTGACAAGACTACGCATAGGTCATACAAGGATTACACACGGGCACCTTCTAGCAGGAAAGCGACCGCATAGGTGCCCATTATGCAAAGGTAGAGTAACAGTCGAGCACATTTTCAATTGTAGAAGGCTCGATGTTTGGCAATATTTTGGAATATCATTGGACCTGTGTGTAGTCTTGGGGCACGGCAGCGGGCACAAATCGCTGTACCCGTACCACAGGGCTATAGGGACTTTCAAATGTATATAGTTTATGTGTGTTTATGCTGTGCTTATATTGTGTGTGAATTGTTTGTGTCGTATTTGTATGGTGTTTATGTTTATTAGGATGAATGTAATTTATTAGCGTGAACGGAAGGGGTTATTTACCCCGCCACGAGGAATATCGAGTACTCTGGGGTGAGTGAGTGACGTCTGGAGAGTTAAGTTATCAGAGCGAATGGAGTGGGTTCAAACCCCGCCCCGAGGAATATCGAGTACTTTGGGGGAGTGAATGTGACCAGACTTTTATGTTAGTATTGTATGTTGTTTATATTTTACTCTATTGGAATGAATTTAATTTAAGTATGAAAGGAAGAGGTTATTTACCCCACCCCAAGGAATATCGAGTACTCTGGGGTGAATGTGTAATGTCTGGGGAGCAAAAGTAAGTTTTCAGAGCGAATGGAGTGGGTTCAAAACCCGCCCCGAGGAATATCGAGTACTCTGGGGGAGTGAATGTGATCAGACTTTTATGTTAGTATTGTATGTTGTTTATATTTTACTCTGTTGGAATGAATGTAATTTAAGCATGAAAGGAAGGGGTTATTTACCCCGCCCCGAGGAATATCGAGTACTCTGGGGGAGTGAATGTGACCAGACTTTTATGTTAGTATTGTATGTTGTTTATATTTTACTCTGTTGGAATGAATGTAATTTAAGCATGAAAGGAAGGGGTTATTTACCCCGCCCCGAGGAATATCGAGTACTCTGGGGGAGTGAATGTGACCAGACTTCTATGTTTGTGGCGATATATATGTTATGTATTGTATGTTGTGTATCTATTCTTAAATTGACAACCTGAGGTACTAACAAGAGGCTAGCTTTTTAAAATAACGACGTAATATACAAGTAAAAGCAGAGAGTCAGTAACCAGATAGAGATGCTCAAATGGCTGCAGTTCAATACAAAATACGCGAGAAAGACAGGAAAGAGAAGGAACACACGCGGAGGGCCGGCGATGACCTCAGCTGTTTATCGGCCCATAAGCGTGTATTCGTATATATTTCGGGACTCCTTGTCCCTATTCAGTGAAAACTTTCCCAAGCCTGGAAGGTTGAAGGTTGTTAAATACTGATACAACTAAAAACTGTGGTATTTGATGGCCAGCTTTTGACGCGACTACAGTTCGTTATATATATATATATATATGTGTGTGTATATATATATACACATATACACACATATACACACACACACACACACACACACACAGAAAACCCTCCTCCCCTGCTGCTACATGAATGCAGATTAGCAGAAAGATGATGCAGAATGAAATCCATTTATGCTTGGTGGTCATAATTGACCATATTCATTATTCCAATTAATTATTCTTTTTATGGAAGGTCTTGGTTGAGATGAAAAAGTTAGTGTTTCGAGTGGGGTTCGAACCCCAGTAAAATGCGAAAGGTTGTAGGTTGATATGTGGAGTTGGTGTCCGGGTAGATGAAGTCACACTAGCTCAAGTGTTTAAAGCAGCGGTGTATTCAGCCGTAGGCCATGGCTTCGAATCCCGCTCATGACACTAACTTTTCCATCTCAACCAAAACCTTACATAAAAATAATAATTAATTAAATAGAAAGTGACTACAAGATCTATCAATCGTCACTTATGCCTGTAGTGCTAGCTGTTATCTAGAATTATAAAATTTATATTGTTTATGTATTAAGTTTATGCTATTATTGTTAATAATAAGTTAGAAATGGTTACTATGGTCCAAGACTACATTACTGTATGTATGACTTCAGAAAAATTAAATTAGTTATATTTAGAATAAATAAATTATGTTTAAAAAAATTGATATTGATAAAATGTGACGGACTTTATTAAGCTAAAAAATCAATAGTGCATTGCTAATATAGTTCTCACAATTTTCCATTACATTAGAAATTTAGATGTTAAAATTTGCCATGACGAATTGTCAAATTAGGCTATTTTATTAAGTAATAAATTCGGCGAATAAAAGATTAATAAAGTCACAAATTATCATGCCAAACGCGTAAAAACGGTGAAAAGTCCGCCAGGACTAACAACCACCGTTCTTAATCCTTAACTAATTACAAAATTGTTTTTCATTCCGGCCTAAGCCGTGGTCTTTCTAAATTCCGAGTCACGACTCTGACTAATAAGTTCATTATATTGATGCAAATTTATATCACAGAAAGTAAAATTGGACTTGCCCAGGGGAATATCGTGACTAGAAGAAAAACTAGAACATTTACTCATCGCGTTGTTTACTTTCTTGAATAAAGAAAGTAAAATGACTTCAGTTCTTTTCATACGTGAGAACAATTTTTTATAGCAGTTCTTACTCAAGTTGATTTCGTGAAAACAAAATTTTTATGACTAGTAAATTTTTTAAATGTGGTCGTTACCGATCGCTCTCGTCTGCCAATCCTCGCTGTGTCGGTCTGTCAGGCGCGTTTCGGCTTTTCGCCATCTTCAGAATGCCTGCCAATGTGTGAAGTTGACTCATGTACATGCACAAATACGTGACTGGGCTCGCCATGGTACACGGACCACCACAAACTGACATCTGAAATTCTTCAACAAAAACATACCATTCACGGCAGACTACAATAAAAGTATAAATTCAATATCAAAAACAGATAACAAACTCAGGTCAACATGTGCAGAAAACATGATACAAGCCGACTAGAACGTAAAGGCTTGGACAACTTGCGACAAAAAGCAGCTCTTTTGGGGAAATGAAACCAA